GATAAGCTGATAGTGTGTTCAGACAGTGTGTTTACTCTTTGGAGGTGGAGTGGCAAAAAGTGCTGTTTACTGGGAGGAGCCTGAGTGAGAACATGCAGTCGTGACTGTTTGAAGTACTCAGTCTTCACTCTTAATGTACATCATTACATGCAGCCCGACCTTGAGGCTTGAATAGGAAATAATATGATTTTTAATGGGTCTAAAACACTGATGCATGTTCATTATGTGAAGTGCAGTCAACAGGTGCTCAGTTGTAAGAGTTTTTAGTGTGCAAACTGCACTGGTGTTGTTCGGCACACAGTAACCGGTTCTTTTTATCACGGCCTGCCACTCTTGTTTTTTTATGCTAAACCTGCGTTATCAGCATAGCGCTGAGCTCCTTTTACGCACAGATAAGCGCAAGCATTGCGACCCGATCCAGTCAGCCTGCAGCTCACTGTCCATTATCACTATGACAGCACTCAGTGCTGAGCACTGTACCGTTATTTCAACCCGGGACACATTGTTAAGATGAGAAATGTGACACCCGATTAGGCTCACAGGTGGTTTTAATCATACATAGACTTTGTCATTTTAGTAAAGAATTAATTTCATGTGCAATGAACAGAAATGATCCGATATTGGTCCTTTAATGCACTCCAAACCAATTTAGACCTCTTCATTAAATGGTCTTCAAAAATACACTGAAAAGAATTGGTGTAAAAATAATTTTCACCCAGAAATTGCTAGTAAATTGCACAAATAATTACATAGACACATGAATGAAATTTTGAAGTAGAAAAAATGAAATCGACATATATCCAATAATCTTAGTGTTAGATGAACTCTTTGGAAGTTTATCTTATGTTATTTATCCCTATCATCAATCCATTCCATTGCCGCGCAGACCTGTGAGAATGAATGAGCAGAGAGTTGGTGCACTACTTAAGCATTCTCAACTTTATTCAGGAAGTCATATTTATACAAACAACATCAGCCCGGATGTCTCAGACACCCATTCAAAGTTTTCAGGAGTTATATGATACCTTATATGGATAGGAAAGAAATATATTTGTTGATTGTAAGGTGTAAAATGTGCATTTGCATTTGTCTAGCTGTCTAGGGGTGGTTTCAGTTTCTCACCCGAAATAGCATTAGCACCGTGTGTATGTGTAAAAGAAGAAGTTCATGAAGTGCATTTGCTGGAGAAACAAATGGACAGAAAGTGAAGCCTTGAATTAATGTTAACAATGGCCACTTTGAGTCATTTATGATTCATGGCTTCACTCTGGAGATATGCTGAGGCTGTTTTTAAGGGGACAGACCCCTGTAATATTAGCAAGCTTATTAAAGATATGAGCAAATAATTTATCAAACCATCAATACATCATAAATTTAGCTTTATTGGAATTTCTCATCATTTTCATAACACATGGCCATACAAGCAGAATAATAATGATGACCCATATATAACGACTCCTACTGTGATGGCCAAATGTTCCAATTTCAATTCATCAGTAATTTCTCTGGCCTTTAATTCTCTAATTAGTCTCTCGTCAATTAATCCTCCATCCTTGTCATTGTGTGGAATAAATGTGCAACATATGGAAGGCGGATGGGGCCAAAAGTTCTGAAATTTGAACAGGTTTCTTCCATACGTGTAGACATAGAAAATAGAAATAGTTTATTGCAGCATTGCTTTACTGATATTTACTATGCTAGAGTAAATTAATTAATGTTACAATGTAAATTAAAGGGGTCATATGATGCTATTTTAAAGATCATTATTTTGTGTATTTGGTGTAACGCAATATGTTGACATGCTTTAAATGTTCAAAAAACACATTATTTTTCAAATACTGTACATTATTGTAGGTCGCCAGCCTTGTGCTCTTCTAGGATCAAAAAACTGTCGTCCATAAAATGCGTTGCACAAATTCGAACATCTGGGTTGTGCTGTTCTGTTGTAAATAAATCTTAACCAATGATTCCTAATTGCATCTACTTCCGGAAGGCCAAATAAAGTGCTTTTGCTTTCGCACTGAAACACAGCGTCTCCCTGACATACTGCATCAGCATGACTGCTGTTCCTGAAACCACGCCTTCTTTCTTTGCGTGCACATTTGGGCTGCATTATGCTAATCTTTCCACATATTGACGTAGTTATGTGGGGGCGTGTTAGAACGAGCAGTTTTAGGTAGGAGTGGCTGATTCTTAACTTTTATAAAGAATATCTCTTTGGATTTGAGACTTTAGTCTTTGCAACTTTACAGATCTTCTTTATGCACCAAGAGCTTGTAACACTCCAAAGAGAAAGGAAAAATTGAAATCACATCATATGACCCCTTTAAGACTTTTCTACTTGAGAAAGAACATTAAACTAAACAACTAAAAAGGCTTATACGCTTGACATCACACACAAAGCACTGATGCATTATCCCTCATGAACAAACATCTGATATTTGCATACAAGCAGTGTCCCATTATGACATCCTTCACGAATACACATGATGTATAATGTTTGCATAAGTATATACCAACGTACCATCCCATCACATATGCAAATTTAGTTTCAAATTCAGCAATATAATTGGCTGATGTGCGTGTTGCCACATTAACATGGACGAACGGTGCGTGTTGACATGGTCAAATTTCACATGTTCCGTTTAAAGGATTTCGGCCCCGTCCACCTTCCATAAGAAATGAACGTGCAAACGCTTACTTCACTGGCCTCCATGTTTAGATACTGTTGACCCAAAAAAAAAAAAAAACGGTGACACTCAGGTCATTGGTGCATGTATTTCCTTCATTTCCTCTGGCTCTTGTGGTTGTGGGTTAGTGGTGTGTAACAGGAAAATGAAATTCAGGAAGCCCCCTTTCTTATAGTTTTCTGGGTACGCAGATAAAAGCAGAGGAGTTGGCAGAGATACAGGTATAAAGTCATAAATTACAGATGCTATCAACTCCAGCAAGTGCACAAAGTCACTTTCCTTTTAGTGCAAAGACAACTAGAGCCTTCCGACTTCCTCAAGCGGAGCATCAACTGCAGTGATGCCACACCATTTTTGGTTCCCCAAAGAACCTTTCAGTGAACAGTTCTTAAGAGAACCATTTTTATTAGTGTTAAGAACATTTTAATAATCTAAAGAATCTTTTGTGGAATGGAAAGATTCCATGGATGTTAAAGGTTCTTCAAGGAACCAACAATGCCAATAAAGGACTTTTACTTTTAAGAGTGAAGGAGAGATTCAAGCCATATATAGAGACCAGAAAATTAAAGGCCAGCAAGCTACAACCTAGCAAACACCCAGTAATGCCCTAGTAACCATGCAATGCTAAAAAGCATTCCTGGGACTCAAAAATTAAGAGCGTGCAACACACAGTCATGGATACGAACTTATAAAATATATGCATTCAATTCAATGTAAGTCAATGTTGATGCATAAATGTGTAAATGCATGCACTGTAAAAACAACAAAGTGTTCGTGCTGCCTTAAAATTGTAAAATGTGAAGTGTATGAGTAATCTTAACAAGTTAAATGCAAATTTTTTGCGATAGCTAACTGCATCAATCATTTTTTCAATGTTATAACCATTAAGAACCTCTCACTAACTCCTTAGTTATGCAACAGGCAAGCAAACATTTTCTTTAAAAATGCAATACAATCAGTGCCTTTTAATGAATATGAAATAAAAACAACAAGCAGATAAGCAAAAATGTTTGGTATAAAGGGACAGGAAATGGAGAAAGCGACATAAAACAAAAGGAAACTAATCAACAATCTTACAGATCAACTTGTGTTGCACATTATGACAGAGTGTATATATATATATATATAGGGGTCTTTTAATAATGCATATATTGCACGGGAGGGTTTTATAAAGACATCTAATTAAGTTGAACCTGTCACTGGTTCACAGAAAAGTGACATGGCTTGATATCATCCGACAGGATGAGAACAGGCGGGAAAAAGCTTCAGCAAGGCCACTATCTGTCTACTCTGAAGAAACACTGGACATAACGGACAGCCAGGAGAGTGTGCAAAAACAGAGATAGAGAAGACAAGAGAGTGTTCTAGATGGCCAAAACTCGTTTCTGCCGTGTCCACTGTACTGCTGCTGAATGAATCTCACAAAACTGATCAAGAGCATGTCCAGGTCACATCTGACCCCAAAATCAAAAGAAATTAAATGAGGCCTATGTTTAGGATCATTAAAGGTTTTCTTTTTTTGCTTGGTAACATTTTCCCCTAATTTCCCATTAGTCTAATGAAAAACTAAAACCATTATCTGAAATATTAATTTGATGTATAATAACCAAAACTGAAATAAAAATGAATAAAAACTATATAGACGTTAAAACCCCCCAAAACTACTAAAAATGACGAAAACACAAGAACGAAAATGAAAGCAGAAAATAGGCTTTCATTTTAGGAATTTAGTTTTAATATTTAAGATTTAATTGAACCATAATTGCATCATGTTTAATTATGTAAATATATTATGTAAAATATTACATAATACGTAACATTTTGCTAAAAAAAAAATAATTAATGGAGTTTTTTAATAACAACACAAACTCAGTGAAGAAGCAAACATCCATTGGTGAGCAAGTGATGTAATGCTACAAGAACGAAAATGAAAGCAGAAAATAGGCTTTCATTTTAGGAATTGTTTAGTTTTAATATTTAAGAATTATTTGAACCATAATTGCATCATATTTAATTATGTAAATATATTATGTAAAATATTACATAATACGTAACATTTTGCTAAAAAAAAATAATTAATGGAGTTTTTTAATAACAACACAAACTCAGTGAAGAAGCAAACATCCATTGGTGAGCAAGTGATGTAATGCTACATTTCTCCAAAAAGAAACAAACTCGTCTACAGCTTGGATGGCCTGAGGGCGAATAAAATTAAAGCATATTTTCATTTTTGGGTAAACTAATCCTTTATAAGTATGTTCGAAAAGAATAACAAGATATTATAAATCATTGTGACAGCATACTGGACATTTTGGGTTGCAGATAGTTTATTTGCTATATTATAATTTAAGAAAACGCTTATTCAAAAAAAAATAACAACAGTAAAACATTGATTTGAGTGGATATTTCTCATAAGTTTCAAACAACAGCCCATGATTGCACATATCAGAATAGCACAGTGCATTTATCTCCATAATAGTGCCGAATGAGCTGTTAGGACTGTAATTTAAAGCAGATGGACACCCAGATAGACAATACAGAAGCTGCCCGCTCAGGGCTGTGGGTGTTACATTATCTGATGAGATAGAGAACATGTGCTAAAACCACAAAGATTCATCCAAACGTGGCCTTTTTGAGGGAAAGACAGAGAAAAGCTGGAGAACGGGGTGAGAGCGTGAGCAATGGGTGTGGATGGACCTTTAAAACGCACATACACGCGTGAATACGTATGGGGAGACACGCAGGTCACTAGCGCAGTCAGATTTCAATCCACGCCATCCTATCTCGACTATCCACATCAACAAACAACACTGAGCGCGTTTAGCAGATGCTGTTTGGGTTAAAAGAAGGAAAGCAAAGATTATCCCAAGTAGCAGTGAATAGGTGAAGAGAAGTTCTCTATGTGATAAAGACGGAGAGAGTGTGTTTTAGCAGGCACAGCCGGTGTGTCCCTCAGAGGACGTGTCCTGCGGACTGGAGTCTTTGTGGTTGGACACTGGACCATCTCCGTCCATACTTTCATTCATCTTCTCACATATCACGTCCACCAGACACTCAAAAACCTGCTTCACGTTGATGTTGTCTTTGGCGCTGGCCTCAAAAAACTGGAAACCTGAGGAAACCAGAAAAAAAGCAAAGCCAGGGTTATTATAGTTAACAGAAACCAAAATTAAAACCATGAAAAAAACATTTTTGTTAAATAAAATAAACTTTTTATTTCAGCTAGTTGCCGAGGAAAAATTTCCTCAATTTAATTTTGTTTATCTTGATGTACAAAAATAGCTAAAACTGAAAAAAAAAACAATATTAATTATTATTATTAAATGTAATGATATTTAATATTTGTATGATGTATAGCATGATATATACAAAGATCCATGTATGATATGTTTAACTTTAAAACTCATTTACCTACAATTTTACAATCAAAATTACACATTTAATTTATTTATATATGAAACATATTTATTTACATATATTTATACATATTTAACTTATTAATAAACTACTCTTATTTCTAAATAATTTAATTAATAATAAAAAATATTTTTAACCTATAGATTGTTTAAGGAAATTATTGAAGTGTGGGGAGGTAAATAAATCAAACAGATTGTTTATAAATATTTAATAATAATTTATATTGCATTTTAAAAAATATGAATCAGTTATAAAAAAAATTTTTATTTTATTTTATTTATCTTACTTTGTTTTTATTTATATGCACAACATTTTAATGATTAAAAATTATTTTAAACATTTTATATTACAATATACATTAATATATACATTTATGACTGAATTTGTAAAATATATGTATACTATGACTTATAAAATAATGTATACATACATATATTATTTTATTTATTTTGGTAGTTATTTTATCATCATTTGCATAAGGGTTATTAACAAGGTTTTTTTTCTTTGAGGATTTAAAAACAAAATATGTTAAATAAATAAATGGGGACCAATTTTGTGGAAATATTCCCTGGTAACCAAGTAAAATTTTCTACTACATATACTTATTTTTAAACAGATACAGATGTAGATATAGAAATAGATGTAGTAATGGACTTCTGCAACTGTGGCATGGCAGTTAGTGTACATTGAGAATCAGATGGATAATGAGTTTGAATCTTGTGATTTTTCCTCTTCAAGTCATCAAAATAAGCAATCAGCAAAAAGGCTAAAAATAAGTTGTAATGTGCATCTTCTCACTGAGTTCATGAGCCAATCTCTGACTGTCCTCTGTCGGAATGAGTCTGTCATCTTCCAGGTCACACTTGTTGCCCACCAGTATCACCTGTGCGTTGTCCCAGGAGTATGTCTTTATCTGAGTGGCCCTAAGAGCCAAACATGCAGGACGTGAACATTAAACACTCTTAATACACACATAATGTACAGATGCATGTGTGTGTGTGTGTGTGTGTATGTGTGTCACTCACCAGTCCTGAACAGTGTTGAACGAGTCCTGGTTTGTGATGTCGTAGATTAGCAGGAAGCCCATGGCTCCTCTGTAATACGCTGTAGTGATGGTTCTATAGCGCTCCTGTCCGGCTGTGTCCTGAACAACATAATCATTACAATAATCCTAATTATATGCATGGATTCAACATCCTGAGTTGTGAGGCTGATGATGAGATAAATGGTCTTGATCTCCTATATTGACCAGTAGATGGCAGACAAGGGTTGTTGTTGTTTTTTCAAAGAAACACTACTATATCTGATGTCAAATCTAAAAATCCTGCGTTATATTATGATAATCCATTTAACATATTTTGTTTTTAAATCCTCAAAGAAAAAAACTTGTTAATAACCTTTATGCAAATGATGATAAAATAACTACCAAAATAAATAAATAAAATAATATAGGTATGAATACATTACTTTATAAGTCATAGAATATACATTTTTAACAAATTCAGTCATAAATTTATATATTAATGTATATTGTAATGTTAAATGTTTTATATAATTTATAATAATTAAAATGTGTATATAAATAAAAACTAAATAAGATAAATAAAATAAAAACATTTTTAATAACTGATTCATATTTTCTAAAATGCAATATAAATATTTATAAACAATCTAGCATCAATTAAATTTTTAAATGTTATTTAATATGATCTTTTCTATTTATATGATTTATAGCATAGACACAAAATCCATGTATATTTAATTGTACGTACAAAATTGCATATTTATTTACATTTCTATGTAATATATTTAAAATAAATATATAAATAACATAAAATAACATAAAATTGTTGAATTTTATATTTATAAAGATAAAAATAATACACATATTTATGATATGTGAATAATATATGATATTATTGTTATGTGAAGTATGTATATTAATGTATGTGTGTGTGTGTGTGTATATATATATATATATATATACACACACACAGTATATAAACAAATTAAAAATTATTTTCAAATTTTAATTTGTGTTTTCTATCTATCTATGCAAATAAAAAAAAAATACAAATAATGGAATTAAAAATCATCATAGTCATATGGACTATTGGCCTGGGTTGGCACAGCAACTATGCGCCGTCGCTTAGAAACCTGCTGGCCAAACTTATTTGCATGATCATCAGACCATCATCAGAGAGGGAGGAGAGAACGTGTTGCCTAGGCAACCAGTGGGTCACACAGGTTTACACATGATCCATTAATGTTTGGCAAGAGTGACAAACAGCAGAGACGAGCTCCAGTCAACAGCCAGATGGACAAAAAACTGTGAGACTTATCAGAATACAGAGTGGTGAAATAAACAATAAACGTGCCCTGCATGAATATGTATTTAGATCAATAATTATGCAAGCACAATTACCATTCTCTTGTTTAGAATTATTTATAAAGACCAAAGTGCAAAGAGACAAGAAAAAGAAAATCTATGCAAAACAAATGCAATGATTTTCTATTCGGCTAACGTATGCTTTATGAATCATAAGTATGAATCACAGTCCACTATGTCCCTATAATATCCCCTTTTAGGATTTGCACCCACAACCTCAAAGATCTTCAACCACTAGCCTATTTCCATTTCTAAATTATGCATAAGAAACATTTCTTCAATTAGACTGAGCTACAAAAATGCATTGCAACCTTTTTATCTATCAAAATTGTTTCAGTGCATCTGCAGAACTCTTTCTAACTCAGGGTCTTGTTGGACAGACAGTCAACAGCCGACAGATGCAGAGGTTCAGAGTGGCCATGAGGCTCAAACTAAAACACGCAAGCCTTTCTGTTACTGGATCAGAGCCAAAGCACACATTAAGACGAAACACACTGAATGCCATCCAGCTCACATTCATCTCTAAACTAAAACACACTGTAAAAACTACTTCAAAATGTCATGCTTAATTCAATGTGTTACTTGCCACTACTTTCTTTATGAAATTTACAAGCAATTGCTGAGTGAAAATAGTTTCTACACCATTTTCCCCCCAGTTAGACTAATTTAACATTCACAATAGCATTCTACACTCTAAAAAATCCTGGGTTAAATATAACCCAGCGCTGGGTTAAAAAAAAATTTCAACTAGATTCATATATATATATATTAAAAAACATATTTTACTTCAATGTATTGAAATAAAACTAAACTTAGGCTATTTTAAAAACATACTGTATTTAATTTAGTGTATCGTGATGCACTAAAACTGAAATAAAAATGAATGAAAACTATATAGACATTAAAAAGCACACTAATAAAAATGACAAAAACACAAACAAAATTACTAAAAAAAAAAATCTTAATGATACTAAAATAACCCTACACATGTCATGTGATAAACATATAGCATACTACAGTATAGTATGTAACAGGTAGTATGCACTTTGTCACATACAGAATACTATGCTACTGTTTTTATTGTTTATGCATACTAGTAGTTAATAGTAGGCAGACAGCAGCATGCAGCTAGTCTGCAGCTTTAGAGATCACTGCAGCATCTCTGCGGTGGAGGAATTTACTGACTTCACTCCCACTCACAATACCGTACCAGCCGGCAGCTGACATTACAGCACATCTACACACCCTCCTGCACCTGATAATTATGGCTTTCTGAGATGTTTTCTTTAATAACACCAGTTTCACTCTGAAACACGTCACACTGTGGAAGTAAAATAGGATTGTGAACGCCGTTTCATGTTGACTTCAAACACATCCCCTGTTCTGGTCTGAAAACACATACTGTATCGGATTCAGTCCACCGACACGAGAGCTCAAACTAACAGGCAAACTCTTGGGAATAGAAATAAAACCCCTCCACCATCCAGTCGATCAATCAGACCCTCACGGGCCTGATGGAGAGGGTCTCCATGGTGACAGGCCCACCAACAAAGCGCGCAGACCCATTAAAAGGGGAGCGGTGCGCGCCAAACACCACTCCTCCCCAGAGGTGAGATGTTACAACAAAGAGAGTGACTGCCCACAGCAGATATTGTCTCAAGGACACGAGAGCACGTGTTAGGTAGCATCTTTTTTAACTCAACTGCAATAGTAATTTAGAACGGCAAGTCTGTGAGTTGGAGGAGTTGGTCTCTCGCTCACTTGGTGAAAAATGATTCTGATGATCATGTGCTCACTGCTTTGAGAAGTCTGTAACTGGTGGTTAATCCTAACGGTCAGGTTTACAGTGTAGGCTAAGGTTGCAAAATCATTGGGTAAGGCAACAAGAAACACTTTAGAGGTTTTGAAACGTCTTCCTATTTTAAGAGGAAAATTGCTCTGATAAAAACAAGCACAGAATGTGTTAAAGGGACTGTTTTCTCAGTTTCTTTATTTTTTAAGAAATTAATATTTTTATTCAACAAGGATGCATTAAATCAATCAAAAGTGAGAGTAATGACATTTATAATGTTACAAAAGATTTATATTTCAAATAAATGCTGTTCTTTTGAACTTTGTATTCATCAAAGAATGCTGAAAAAATGTATCACAGTTTCCACAAAAATATTAAGCAGCACGACTGTTTTCATAATGATAAGAAGGAGCAAATCAGCATATTATACTGATTTCTGAAGGATCATGTGACACTGAAGACTGGAGTAATAATGATGCTGAAAATTCAGCTCTGATCATGAATAAATGACATTTTACAATATATTCACATAGAAAACAGTTATTTTTAATTGTAATAATATTTCATAATATTGCTGTTTTACTGTATTTTCCACTAAATAAATGCAGCCTTGGTGAGCAGAAGAGATTAAAACATTAAAAATTCTTACCGAACTCAAACTTTTGAATTGTCGTGTACAGTGAAAGTGAATGTAGTCTATATGACTAAACCAACATCAATCAACATATTTCTTGTTAACTATCACTTTAAGTAATTTTGCAAACAATGATTCAATGTCAAAAATCACAAAACTCAGAATCACCTTTTCTTCACAATTATATACATTTATAGTTATATGCAAAAACTACATGCATGCGTTTCCATTAAACAATGTTTTCACTTGCTGTTATTGCCTTGTTGTTCAAATAAAACATTAAAATTGAGTAAAACTGTACTTTCTAAGGTCTTATATTCTCAAAGGATCTTAAGCTGAAAAGTCTTGTCACATGTTGAGCATGTGCACCGGCTGCATGAGGCCTTTCAATACTAAAACTGAAGCCAGAGATGTCAATGAAAGTGGATTTTATTCCATGATCTTCAACAACAAGACACCCCAAATCTCTCAAGCTACTTTGTTACCGCTTCATTTCATATCATTTCTGCAGTTCAGATGCGCGTCTGGATGAAACCCTAAAACAACACCATAAAACAGACCTGATCTATGCTCACCATTCATTTCACAGCTCAATATAACGGTTTTATACCAAACGGCACTCAGCACAGCTCTTTGTCTATTAGTAAGAACACCGAATCCCATCCCACATGTCCCATGAGAGACACAAATCAATAATGCTATGGGCTGTATGGAACCCCATAGAATCAGAGCTTAATATTTCACACTAATAATACAGACCTACTAAAATATTAACTTCATATGCCATCACCTTCATATGATGCGATTTCAATTTGTCCTTTCTCTTTGGAGTGTTACAAGCTCTTGGTGCATAAAGAAGATCTGTAAAGCTGCAAAGACTAAAGTCTCAAATCCAAAGAGATATTCTTTATAAAAGTTAAGAGTCAGCCACGCCTACCTAAAACGACTCGTTCTAACACGCCCCCACATGTCTACGTCACTATGTGGGAAGATTTGCATAACGCCGCCCAAATGTTTACGCAAAGAAAGAAGGCGTAACTTTTATTCTCGCTGTAGTATTGTTGCCGCTGCCACAATGTTGTGAAGGCGCTGTGTGATTCGTCGTGAAAGCGAAACTACTTTGTTTGGTCTTCCAAAAGTGCAATTACCCACTTTGAAGCATTTTAAAGTAGGGAGAAATACAGTTAAAATCAATAATAATAATAATAGAATTTAAAATGGCTGAGCAGGTTTACAAAATAAAAAAAGTCATAGGATCCAGACCTAAAAAAAATGTGTTTTATCCTTTGTCTGAAAGCAATTCACAAGAATTATGCCTTATATAGAGATTTTTTTTTTTTTTTAATAAGTCAAAAAGTGTCCCCATGATTCCTAACATTTGTAAGTGAGAGTCCACTTTTATGGGCTGTAAATACAAAATCAACTGGGCTCTTTTCACTCTGTTCACTTTTGTCTCATGTCAAGGGGTCTGAATTTGGTTATTTTAACCTTAGCGAAGACTAAACACTCTTGTTGTATAAAAACTAGAAGCATTATTGTTATACGAATCAGTCTGACAAAAAGAGAGAACATATACAGGATAATTCTCTAAAAATATCTGTCAGACTGCACTCTTTCTCAAAGACACACAACACACTCATATAGTTCCCAAATGGAGGGCCAGGTAAATGAGATTGACGGTAGTGGAGAAAAAGCCTATGAGGTTGCAGAGGTTGGACAGACCGTGGTAGCGGTAGAAGGTGGTCCTGTGCTCCTTGTATTTCGGGTCCTGCTCACGGAGTTTGGCGTAGCCTTCCTTATTGGAGCTCATACCCACCTGATTTCCCAGACCGTGTTCCTTCTCGATCTCCTGCATGACCAGCATGCTCTCTGTGGCAGATTTATTGAGATACACCTGTGTATATATATATATATATATACACACACACACACACACACACACACACACACACACACACACACACACAGCCGTTCAAAAGTTTGGGGTCAGTGAGATTTGTCTTTTTTTTTTTTAAAAGAAGTATCTTCTGTTCATCATGGCTGCATTTATTTGATCAGAAACAGAAAAAAAATGTAATATTGCGAGATATTATTGCTATTTAAAATAGGCCTAATGGTTATCCATTTTACTATACATTAAAATATAATCTATTCCTGTGATCAAAGCTGATTTTCAGCAGCATTACTCTAGTCTTCAGTGTCACATGATCCTTCAGAAATCAGTCTAATATGCTGATTTATTATCAGTAATGGAAACAGTTGTGCTGCTTAATATATTTATGGAACCTGTGATACTTTTTTCAGGATTCTGAAATTAATGCTTTTATTCAGCAAGTATGTGTTAATTAAGTGATAATAAAAAGTGACGCTGTTCTTTTTAAACTTTTTGTTCACCAAAGAATCCTGAAAAACAATGCGCACCGAGCGAACACAATGATAATCATTGAAATTATGCACCGTTTTCTCTCCCCAAATAAACTCAGTTTTGAACTCTGTTGTAGTTCTGCTGTTTAACATTAGAGGGCGCTCAGATCCGATCCGCTTTTAAACTGAAGGGCCATTTGACCGAGCGGAAGAAAGAAGTATACGATTTTAGAAGATGTGGGAAAGATGAGGTGATTTGAAATAGATTACAATTTGGGCACACAGGACTAAATGCATCACTATACAAAATAGGTAAACATATTACAGGTAAATGTGCTTTTTGTGGGGTAATAGAAACCGTTGAACATGTATATGGAGGGCGAAACCTGCAAAAACAATAAATAAATAAATACACAAATAAATAAATAAATGTGTGCATAAATACACATATTCTTGTTTAAATACATAAATAATTATACATGTGATGAAAGTAGGCAAATAAATAAAATAAATTGGTGGGAAAATGGAAAATGTTTAAGGAAATGCTAAACTCATCCTAACTATTTTCCTTTGATCACTCATTTATTTCTGAATGTAGTTCCACATTTTTTTTCCCCTCTGCGCAACATGCTAATGAGAGGGTGTCAATTATGCAAGAGTAGGCGGATCGTGTGTGACGAGCTTGAGTGCTATGATCTTTTAATCATAAAAGATTTTAAGCGGCCAATGTAAAATATTTATGCTTACATAGCTCTTAATTGCAATACTGAACCGTTATGTGCTTAATAAACATAATTTTGTCGCCTGTATTTTCTGTTCTGATAACTAATGGGAAAAAACGGTCTGTTCCTTGATTAAACCACTTCATACCAGTCATCTCACGATGACCATGGGATACTGATATTACAGTTGTCTCTAGCTGGAGACTCAATCGGGTTACAAAAAATGACGTCAGGAAACGACACTGGCTATTTCGTCGGGTCGTTTGTAAAGTCACAGACACTGTACGGACAATACAGCTCAGTTTTTTATGTATCTTGCTCTGTTGAACAGAAAAAGTGACTTTACGTAGGCCATACTGGATTAACACCATGCATCATCTCCTGTCAGCGGGAAAGCTGCGCCCCCAGCTATCACATGCCCCCGACCAAGTCCATAGTTGACACCCTCTCAGTAGCATGTTGTGCAGAGGAAAAATAAATGCGGAACTACATTCAGAAATAAATGAGTGATCAAAGGAAAATAAATCGGATGAGTTTAGCATTTCCTTAAACATTTTCCATTTGCCCACCAATTTATTGTATTTATTTGCCTACTTTAATCACATGTTTAATTATTTCTATATGTATTTAAACAAGAATTTGTGTATTTATACAGACATTTATTTATTTGTGTATTTATTTATTTATTTATTTATTGTTTTTGCAGTTTTCGCCCTCCATACATGTAATATTAAAATGTCGGAAATATAATATAGAGAGAATTAAAATGACAAAGAACTTAAATGGTAATAATAAAGAAAAAAAGAAGATAAATTGGATATTAGGAAAACGATTAAGAGAAGGTATAGTAATGGAATATATAGTAGAAACGGGATTAAATTAACGAATTTGATCAATAAATAAAGCAAAGGAATAGGGGAGTACACAAGCTGGGGTTTTTGGCATGGGAGCTGAACACGCAGCAGCCAGAAATACAGCTTGGGTGAGCCCGAAATAAAATTAACAATTAAAAAAAAAGATATATATATACAGTGGGTACGGAAAGAATTCAGACCCCCTTAAATTTTTCACTCTTTGTTATATTGCAGCCATTTGCTAAAATTATTTAAGTTAATTTTTTTTCCTCATTAATGTACACACAGCACCCCATATTGACAGAAAAACACAGAATTGTTGACATTTTTGCAGATTTATTAAAAAAGAAAAACTGAAATATCACATGGTCCTAAGTATTCAGACCCTTTGCTCAGTATTTAGTAGAAGCACCCTTTTGATCGAATACAGCCATGAGTCTTTTTGGGAAAGAGGCAACAAGTTTTTCACACCTGGATTTGGGAATCCTCTGCCATTCCTCCTTGCAGAGCCTCTCCAGTTCTGTCAGGTTGGATAACGGTGAGTGCTGGTTTTCTCAGAGTCGCCTCTCATTATCGCAGTCTGGTAAGAGATTTGTTTTGGGTTTGTTGTTGTTTAAGCATAATGTCTAAGTATAACGTATATCGTGAGTGTTTTGAGCATATGGTTTTGCTAGGGGTTTCATTGTATTTCCATTTTACTGATTGTGTTTGTTTTTCTGTGTAGAACCTAACCTTTAAAATATCACAAAACTGTTCAATCTGAATTAAAAAAAAAAAGAAATACATCAGATAGAAATACACCCGTTTGATTATTCTTTTTCATTATTGTTTGTCAGTTTGAGACAAAATACACAGTCAATGTGGTTTAATCTAATATCAGAAAGAATGTATATGAATTGCACGTTATTTTTAGATGCTGAATGTCATCACATAAAGGTTACCTTGATCTGTGTTTATGTTGTAAAGCTCATGGTTGCAAGAGGCTGTTGCTTCTGTTTGTGTATATTTGACACAAGCAGCGTCTTCATTTAATGTATTTAAAGATTGCTTTAAAGTATATTTGGTCTGATTTGATTTGTGCTTTATGTCCTCCATGAAGTAAAAGATGGGACGCAGAAAGTCGAAGAGAAAACCCCCTCCCAAGAAAAAGATGACGGGAAACCTGGACACCCAGTTTACCTGCCCCTTCTGTAACCACGAGAAATCATGTGACGTTAAGATGTGAGAATAAAACTCCTTAAGTGTTACTTCAAGATCTTTTGCATGCAACAACAACAACAACAACACTAATGCTCAACATTTTTACTTTATTCCAGGGAGCGAAGTCGAAATACAGGGATAATATCCTGTACTGTGTGTCTAGAGGAATTCCAGACGCCAATTACCTGTATCCTTCTCAAAGCCTAACTGAAACAGACATGTATATGATAAATTATGTATGAGTAACAATTTATTGCATGATGTATATTATTAATAAAGGAATAGTCCATCCAAAAATAAAAATTTGCTGAAAATGTACTCGCTCTCAGGCCATCCAAGATGTAGATGAGTTTGTTTCTTCATCAGAACAGATTTGGAGAAATGTAGCATTACATCACTTGCTCACCAGTGGATGATCTGCAGTGAATGGGTGCCGTCAGAATGAGAGTCCAAACAGCTGATAAAAACATCACAATAATCCACACCACTCAAGTCCACCAATTATTATCTTGTGAAGTGAAAAACTGCGTATTTGTATGAGAGACAAATCCATAATTAAGATGTTTGAAAATTAAACCGTCACTTCTGACCAAAATATCAGTCCATAATCCATAATAACGCTTCTTCCAGTGAAAAAAGTTGTCCCTTGTTATCGTCTCGCATCAAATCCACCCGAATATTTGTTTAGAACTTTTTTTTAAATCATGTTTTCTCTTGTAAACGGTGCTTGGATCTGTGCATATTTCTCTCTTGATTCAGACGAGGTGACTGGAGAATATGGATAGGGGACTCGTATTTTAGCCGGAAGCAACGACTTAAAGATTGTTTCAGATCTGTGCAGATTTCCAATTCACAAGATGTTATCTGACGGACTGGAGTGGTGTGGATTATTGTGATGTTTTTATCAGCTGTTTGGACTCTCATTCTGACGGCACCCATTCACTGCAGAGCATCCATTGCTGAGCAAATGATGTGATGCTTTATTTCTCCAAATCTGTTCTGATGAAGAAACAAACTCATCTACATCTTGGATGGCCTGAGGGTGAGTACATTCTCAGCATGTTTTCATTTTTGGGTGAATTATTTGTTTAATGTGATGTTGGTTCTTGTCCTTAATCTCTCTCTCAGATCTCTCAGAGCCGGTGGACGTGTACAGTGATTGGATAGACGCTTGTGAAGCAGCCAATCAGTAGTTTTGCAGGGTCAAATGTCACAGATGACCAAATACACTTAAAGACTTTTGTTTTTGTTTGTTTGAAACTTCTGTATTGATTCACTGTTCAATTTTGAATTGAAGCTGAAAGAATGATCTAATAAAGCCACAGAAGGAGGTTCAGGCAACATTGAGATGATAGTTTCAAATCCAGCCTTTTCCCTTTTGTTTAGTGTTACAGAGATGCTGAGAAAATGCAACAGATGCCGTTTTTCTGTTTTCGTTGGTTTCTAATCTTTTAGTTCGTCTTGTGTATTTTACAATTTAGGTTTTTATAAGACCATGTAGTATCAATAAATCATTGGCATATTCTCTCTTGTGGAAAACTGTGGTCTGTTTCTGTTGTGCAATCAGTTAAAATGTAATGTTACAAACATTTCCGTTAAATGAAAATAAAGACAAATCATTTGAAAATAGTGATTTATTAGTTTTTCACTTGCTCAGCCATTGTTGGTAAGCCTCATAAAGACATTAGAAGCATTGATGCAAGAGGGACACGCTACATCAACAAAAGAGAGATTCACTGTTTTATGATCTTGTGTTCGGCTGTTCCCAGCGGCAATGCAAAACAATGACATTCCTTAACACACAACGATATATAAATGAAATTTACAAATCTGTAATATTTTCAATAACTGAATTACATGATGAGGTGAAATCTAGTCATGTCAAAACTATTTAGTTTAAAATAGCTAAATATATTAACTCTGCACATTAAAACTTATTTTATATGTAGACTCCCAACCATCCTAAATCATGAGCAGCTCTTGCTTGTGCTATGATCGGTTGCTTTGATAATTGAGTATCAGGTTTGGCAGGCTAAAATAACGCTCGCATATATGCAAGTTTACTGAATCATTCCTATATAGTCTGGGAGTGACAGTCATTTTTCTAAAAAAAAAAAAAAGCCATTGCAATTTAAGTCCGTTTTGGTTGACATGATTTTTCACAGTATGATTAGGTAATGAAAAAAAAACAGTAGTTCTCTATTTGTCGGTCCATGTCTATTTACTTTTATAAAGGATAAACTGAATCAAAAAAAGTTTTGAAATATTTTTGGCCAGACCGCCCCAAATCCTCCCTATAAACAGTCATAATACTAGCTTAATTAATTATAAAATGTCTTTAAACAACTGTACTGTATTATATTTATTAAAAGAATGTAGATAAACTGCTTTGTGGACCATCTGTAGCTTGACGAAATACTATTCTGTACTACAAAAGACATCTCTGAAACCTTGAGGTTTTAGAACCTCTGGCCATTTTGGATTTCTCCTTTTCTTAGTAGTGACTCCACATACATATGTTATGATGAATGAAGAAGCTTACTGTGTTTAACCCAGCTCCTGGATCAACATCCTCCAATAGTGTTCCTGTCAGTGAGTCAGCGTTTAAGGGCAGGGCTTTCTAACTTAGTTCCTGCAGCTCTATTTAACACATCTGAACCAGCTAATCAACACCTTCGGAATTGCTTGAGAACTACAAGCAGGTGTGTTGGAGCAGGGTTAACACCTTTTCAAACAATTATGCAAACTCGACATTATTTAAACGTTGTTTTGAAGCTTATAGTTGAACGCCAAAACCCAGACAATCTCCTAGATGCAGTAGTTAGGTTAAGTTCATCCGAGTTTCTTCAAGAAATTGGCAGTAGTGGGGCATCTTTGGTGGATTTCCTCTTCCTTCATTCAATTAAAAAAGCATCATGGAACCTATTAAAATGTGCACACCATAGGAGCTGCTGGTGTGACCAAATCCACTTAAATTACACTATGGGCAGAAGTTTGGAATAATTAAGATATCATTCTTTTGTGCTCATTAAGACTGCATTTATTTGACCAGAAATATAGTAAAAATATAGTCATATTGTGAAATATTATTATTTTAAATAATTGTTTTTTTTCACTTGAATGTACAGTGGGGCAAAAAAGTATTTAGTCAGCCACCAATTGTGCAAGTTCTCCCACTTAAAAAGATGAGAGAGGCCTGTAATTTTCATCATAGGTATACCTCAACTATGAGAGACAAAATGAGAAAAAAAATCCAGAAAATCACATTGTAGGATTTTTAAAGAATTTATTTGCAAATTATGGTGGAAAATAAGTATTTGGTCAATAACAAAATTTAATCTCAATACTTTGTTATATACCCTTTGTTGGCAATGACAGACGTCAAACGTTCTTACTATTAATGTTGAAAACAATGTTTTTGCCGTTTTAAAGAAATTAAACCTTTTTTCAGAAAGGATCCATTAAATTGATCAAAAGTGACAGTAAAGACATTTATAATGTACAAAAGATGTCTATTTCAAATAAATGTATCACAGTTTCCACAAAAATATTAAGCAGCAAAAACATGGTAATAATAAGAACCATTATTAACAACTGAGCACCAATAACTGATAATAACGGAGCAGCAAATCAGCATATCAGAATGATTTCTGAAAGATCATGTGACACTGAAGACTGGAGTAATTATGCTAAAAAAAAATCAACTTTGCATCACAGAAGTAAATTATATTTGACACTATATTCAAATAGAAAACAGTTGTTTTGAATTGAAATAATATTTCATTGTTTTACTGTATTTTTAATCAAATAAATGCAGCCTTGGTGAACATAAGAGACTGCTTTTAATACACATTAAGAAATCCAAATGATTCTAAACTTTTGACCAGTAGTGCCTATGTAACTATGAGGCATCATAAATAATATATCCATATTTATCATCTGCATTATTTTTTCATATGAGAAAATCTGGCCATGCAGGAGATGGGAGAATTGCACACTCAAAATAACAATAAAATAAAATTGAAAACTTAATCATATTAAAACTACAAAGTGAGAAGCAGGAAAAGCCTGTATGTAAAAAAAGAAAAGTAGAAAAGCTTGTTTTCTACGAAGGTTCTCAGCTTTGATCGGTGGCTGTGATGTCAGGAAACAGTTCAAGCTGCTCCTACTGGTCAACATGAATTTGGAATATCAAAAAGAGTGCAGGTGAACTTTTAAAAAGCAGTGTGCTGGCAGCTGTCTGTCCATCCTAGTCGGAATCCTGATATCCATCCATCTCTGAGTCCTGGCCGTTGTTGATGTAGTCATTAGGGCTGGAGCAGTACTTGCTGTCATACACCTGACGCGGCAGACCGTACACCGTCATGCCGGTCTGGGACGCCACTTTATTGGTGCCCATCTGCAGCGAGACGATAGAGGTGTCGCACATCTCCATGTCCAGCTTCTTATCGAAGATCTGGCGCTTGGTGCCGGGGGCCGTCATGCCGGACTGCAGAAGAGGAAACAGAAAAGAAATAAGCAACAATTTGTGCAATTCACGAACAGTACTAGGAATTGTAAAACAATAAGAGCATGATTATAAAACCGTTTTGAGCACCTGACTAGCTCCTTTGTTGGTGCCCATCTGCAAACTGATTGTTGATTGGTCCAGAGGACTCTCCATCCCCGTCTTAGGGTCATAGAGGTGACGCCGTGTGCCATAAGACGTCATGCCCTTTTGACTGGCAAACTTATTGGTGCCCATCTGAAAATGCAAAAGAGTGAAAAGAAAAAGAACTGGGAAAATTATATAGATAAAGAATGTCCTGACAATTATATAACATACACTACTGTTACTCTATGGGTCAGAGGTTTGGAATAATTGAAATTGTTTTGTTAATTAAAAATGTAATGTTTTTGAAAGAAGCAGTAAAACAGTAATATTGTGAAATTTTATTACAATTTAAAATAACTTAATAAATGTAATTTAGTGCTGTGATCAAAGCTGAATTTTCAGCATTCTAATATGCTGATTGGCTGCTTAAGAAACATTCATTTTTATTGTCAATATTGAAAAAGGTTTTTGCTGCTTAATATTTCTTTTCTTTACTTTCACTTTTAATCAATTTAATGTATCCTTGCTGAATAAAAAGTAATAATTCCTTTAAAATAAAACTTTGGAACAGTAGTGTGTAATTTTAAAAACATAAATATCAAATATAACAATATTTAATAAATACATCAAAATAAAATGTAAATAAATATAAAGATATGTATATATAAAATACTATTAATATGATCATTTATAATGCTTACCATTGAATTTAATTTGATTTGATAAAAAAATAGCAGTAACAGGCATTGCTATATATTTTTTTCCAATGCATAAGACTTTAATTTAACCCTTATTTCATTTATTTTTATATTCAAAGAAAAAGACATTACTGATGAACAACTACTGACCTGCAGACCAATAATGTTGCGTCCCTCCTTTAGTTTCTCAGGAGCAAATTTGCGCTGTTGTTTCTCTGCGTATTTCACTCCAATGTCGCATTTAGAATGGAAGCCTTTAGACTTCGCCTGCATTTCAAAATAATGACAAATTAATACAAGTACGTCAATAATAAAGCAACCAGACATTTTACATTTAAGAAGTGGAAGTATAGGATGCTACTATTTCATATAAAAAACAAACGTATATGTTGAACACACAAAGAGAAGAGAGATTCCTTTTTTGGTGTTTGCTTGACTGTTGGTTTGTGGAAAAACGACTGATCATGCAGCTCAAATACCACATGTTTTGATGTTAATCTCTCTGCTAACAGTTAAACACTCCCATATGAATCTCCTTACTGTGAACTTTCGAAATGTAGATTAAAAAGTATGAATATTACAGAAGTTCTTAATCTTCAGTCTGGAGGTAGTCCTTATCATTTCTGTATTGAAATTCATAATGTGTGACTCACCATCCCAGCCAGTGTAATAAGCGTGCACTGGACCTGAGTGTGGTTGACGTTCTCAAACAGGTCGTTGGCCTCAAATATATCATGTGGCCTCAGTCCATACTCTTGAATGGCTCGGACGAAATTACCAATATTTTCCAGCTGCAACGAACAAGGCCAAACCAAGAATAACTGACATAAACTGGAAAATCTGAAAGTATGCACAACTGATTCCAAAGGAACAATGTTCAGCACCAGAAACCCTTTATATTTGGAACAGAGGATCAGCGGTTATTAGATTTGATGAATGACACAAGCATTCTATTTCGCAAAGAACTCGTAACTCTGTAAATTCCATGTAACTTTTGAATATAGAAACCAAAAAAGATGTTATTGATTTCTGTCTCATCCCACATTAAAGTCCCCATGAAATCAAAATTAAAGTTTTTTGGGTGTTAGTATCAATATGTTAGTCTTAAGGTTATCTATAAGGCAGTGTGCTCCAAAACAGTGACAAAATTCGCATTTAGAAGATATAAGCATTCAAAGCTTGCAGTTCGTCACTTCCGCAAAAACTGCTCAATGATTTTTTTGACGTCACATCGTACTTCAGCTTCTCATCAAACTTTCTGTCCAATCAAATGCTCTCTAGAATCCGAAGCGCCCGCCCCTACACTATAAAATAGACGCTGAAACCACGGCTGAAATCGGTCACTTAGTATTTTCTGTACAGTGAATGGCACGTAGTGCACTATATAGGGGACAGGGAAGGGTGCAAACTACGGGGGAGCTAGGGGGAGCTCGGCTCCCCTTAATAAGACATGGGCTCCCCTGAAAACGTGATTTGTGAAATTTTGGGGGGTCTCAAGAAATATTGACAATGTGTTATTTTGACATGCATTTACGGAGCTCAACGGCTCTGAACGGCTCTAGCCAAAGCTGTGATATAAACAAACGCTATTGGCTATTTTAAAAAGAGGCGGGGCTGCTTGATATGTCCCGCCCTGCCTTCCTGTTTCAGTTAAAATGACGTCAACACAGAGTAATGCTGCGTGTTTCTAAGCATTTCAGGGGCCTCCAAAGTGTTTTACTACTTGGTTTTCACTCAAACATCTAAACTATGGGCTGAACTTTCTTCATGCCAAACTGTCAGGCTCTTCATATGACTGTAAATTTCTTCTAAAATGACTGTTTAACCTAAGTATAAATACTGAAGACAGGAAGCATTTCCTATGATTCCTAGTCAGGGTTGCCAGGTTTTCACAAGAAAACCCACCCAATCTCTACTCAAAACTAGCCCAATCGTGTTTCGAGGGGATCCCCAGTTAAAAATTGCATTCCAGGGGATAAATATCATGTTATTGGAGTTGCTTCAACCCACAGACATGGAAAACAACCCACGGCAACAGTATTAAAGGGGTCATATGATGCGATTTCAAGTTTTCCTTTCTCTTTGTGGAGTGTTACAAGCTGATTGTGCATAGATAAGATCCCTGAAGTTGCAAAGACTAAAGTCTCAAAACCAAAGAGATATTCTTTATCAAAGTTAAGACTCTGCCACGCCCCCCTAAAACGGCTCGTTCTAACACGATCTTAGCTCCTCCTCCTTATTTGGGTCATATTTGTGGGCCAGCTGGAGGTCAAAGGTCAAAACATTACTACACGCATCTAACTTGCAGAATTTATATACTCTACAGTACTTTTTTTAAAAGAATTATTACACATACAGCTTTTATTTAATTTGCTGCACTGAATGGCTAGTTAAATGAAAAAAATAACAGTCAAATAAAAATCTGAAAATATAAAATAAACATTTAAATATACACTTTTACTCACACATACACTTTACCGTGTGGGGTCAGTAAGATTTTTTTTAATGTTTTTGACATAAGTCTCTTATGCCCAACAAGGCTGCATTTATTTGGGGGGGAAAAAAACAGGAAAACTGTGATCATGTAAAATATTATTATAATTTAAAATAACTTTTAAATGTAATTTATTCCTGTGATCAAAGCTGAATTTTCAGGATCATTACACCAGTCTTCAGTGTCACATGATCCTTCAGAAATCAGTATAATATCCTGATTTGCTGATCAAAAAAAATTTTTTTGGTCAGTGTTGAAAACAGTTTTACTGCTTAATATTTTGCAAGTATTAACCTCTTTCAAAAGAAATCTTTTTTTAGTGACTCCTATCTTTTGAATAGTAGCTTATAGTGTATACATGTTACAAATAAAATCTTGCTGTTGATTACAAAAAGATGAATGACAAGACATGCATATTTGCTCTTGATCCAAAACATTTTCTTGATGAAAATGACCATTTTCTAGCATGTTTCTTCCAAATAAACCCCATAACTTATTTTTAATGGTTCCCTTTGTCTCAGTTCATCGGACAGATGGATTTCTTAAAATAAAACATTATGGATGGCTGAGCGAGTTGTAAAGGAAAAGAAGAAGTGGAATATAAAATATAAGGTTGGGAATGCTGGGGACATGCATGCAAAACTTGGATCGTCTCCTTTATTGTATTGCTGCGTTGACTAAATATTTACTCCCAACAGCTACGCAATAGATCACAGTCTTTCACTCCTGAAGTATTTCTAATAAAGGAAGAACAAGACAGAAAAAAGGAAGAGAGAGAGAGAGAGAGAGAGCGAGAGCTCTGAGAGAGCTGTTTCTCCCAAGTTTGGTGCGCTGGTGTGGAAGCCAAACAAACGCTGTAACTTTAAATCAGTGTTATTGTTGGCCTTTTCTCCCTTTCTGTCCTCCCTGTCACTTCTCTATCCACAGCGGTGTGTCTCATCCGATCAGCCCTCCATTCTGATTTTTAGCTCCTCACTATCGTTTCTTCTCGCTGCTGTCTGCTCGTGTGAAGTGATGTAATTAGCACACGCTAAATGTGTCCGATAAAAGAACACCAAGACCGATAGCACTCATACCCTTCCAAGGAATTCTGCTCAGAGCTTGATTTATTGTTTTTCTCTCATTCTGGACCTCTGGAACAGACCTCAGTCTAACTCTGAGGGCAAGACCAGTTTTATTTTAAAAGTCTGTTACAGACTGCCTGGATAACATTCCTTTACACCCTTGGTTATACTAGAAATACCTGCATGTTGTACATTGACATATATTTTTAGCAGTTACACTGTATATGATTCCTAACTCCTAAAAATAAAGGTTCTTTATCTGCATCTATGATTCTGTGAAGAGCCTTTAACATCCCTGGAATCTTTTCGCTACACCAAAGTTTCTTTATATAGCGGAAAATGTTTCTTTAGATTTTTCAAATGTTCATCACACTAAGAAAAAAAGTGTCGCTTTTAAGAACTGACTGAGGACTTTTTGGGAGCCCAAAATGATTCTTCTATTTCATCACTATATTAAAAAACCCTTTTGGTACCTTTATTTTTTAAGAGTGTATAGATTTTCCCTCTCACTATTAAAGACCAGATAACTTTGAATTAATGTTCTATTAATGCTACTGGAAGAATGTTTGTTCATGACTTTAAAAGATTCTTGCCAGAAAGTTCTGCAAACGTTCCCTGTTGGCTGGAACAAAGATGATCTTCCAGTATTAGGATGTCCAACAATGCTCCTCCTTATTCTAAACTGTTTACAACATGCTCCTCTCTTTCCAGATATTGTGAGTGAACACAACTCTTCCTTATATGGGGACCGAAAACCACATACCTAGTGCTCAGGAAGACACTCCTGACATAACACCAATGACACGCAGAATCCACAGTGTGACACCTGAAATTGTGCAGCATGACTTCTGGTATACCAGAGAACACAGATACACTCTTAAAAATAAAGGTGCTTCAAAAGGTTCTTCAAGCGATGCCATAGAAGAAGCATTTTTGGTTCCACAAAGAACCATTCAGTCAAAGGTTCTTTAAAGAACCATCTCTTTCTTACCTTTTTATAATCTGAAGAACCTTCTTTCACCACAAAGAACCTTTTGTGAAACAGAAAGGTTCTTCAGATGTTAAAGGTTCTTTGGAAAAGAAGAAGTGGAATATAAAATATAAGGTTGGGAATGCTGGGGACATGCATGCAAAACTTGGATCGTCTCCTTTATTGTATTGCTGCGTTGACTAAATATTTACTCCCAACAGCTACGCAATAGATCACAGTCTTTCACTCCTGAAGTATTTCTAATAAAGGAAGAACAAGACAGAAAAAAGGAAGAGAGAGAGAGAGAGCGAGAGCGAGAGATCTGAGAGAGCTGTTTCTCCCAAGTTTGGTGCGCTGGTGTGGAAGCCAAACAAACGCTGTAACTTTAAATCAGTGTTATTGTTGGCCTTTTCTCCCTTTCTGTCCTCCCTGTCACTTCTCTATCCACAGCGGTGTGTCTCATCCGATCAGCCCTCCATTCTGATTTTTAGCTCCTCACTATCGTTTCTTCTCGCTGCTGTCTGCTCGTGTGAAGTGATGTAATTAGCACACGCTAAATGTGTCCGATAAAAGAACACCAAGACCGATAGCACTCATACCCTTCCAAGGAATTCTGCTCAGAGCTTGATTTATTGTTTTTCTCTCATTCTGGACCTCTGGAACAGACCTCAGTCTAACTCTGAGGGCAAGACCAGTTTTATTTTAAAAGTCTGTTACAGACTGCCTGGATAACATTCCTTTACACCCTTGGTTATACTAGAAATACCTGCATGTTGTACATTGACATATATTTTTAGCAGTTACACTGTATATGATTCCTAACTCCTAAAAATAAAGGTTCTTTATCTGCATCTATGATTCTGTGAAGAGCCTTTAACATCCCTGGAATCTTTTCGCTACACCAAAGTTTCTTTATATAGCGGAAAATGTTTCTTTAGATTTTTCAAATGTTCATCACACTAAGAAAAAAAGTGTCGCTTTTAAGAACTGACTGAGGACTTTTTGGGAGCCCAAAATGATTCTTCTATTTCATCACTATATTAAAAAACCCTTTTGGTACCTTTATTTTTTTAAGAGTGTATAGATTTTCCCTCTCACTATTAAAGACCAGATAACTTTGAATTAATGTTCTATTAATGCTACTGGAAGAATGTTTGTTCATGACTTTAAAAGATTCTTGCCAGAAAGTTCTGCAAACGTTCCCTGTTGGCTGGAACAAAGATGATCTTCCAGTATTAGGATGTCCAACAATGCTCCTCCTTATTCTAAACTGTTTACAACATGCTCCTCTCTTTCCAGATATTGTGAGTGAACACAACTCTTCCTTATATGGGGACCGAAAACCACATACCTAGTGCTCAGGAAGACACTCCTGACATAACACCAATGACACGCAGAATCCACAGTGTGACACCTGAAATTGTGCAGCATGACTTCTGGTATACCAGAGAACACAGATACACTCTTAAAAATAAAGGTGCTTCAAAAGGTTCTTCAAGCGATGCCATAGAAGAAGCATTTTTGGTTTCACAAAGAACCATTCAGTCAAAGGTTCTTTAAAGAACCATCTCTTTCTTACCTTTTTATAATCTGAAGAACCTTCTTTCACCACAAAGAACCTTTTGTGAAACAGAAAGGTTCTTCAGATGTTAAAGGTTCTTTCTGGAACCATTTAGACAAAAAGGTTCTTCTAAGGCATCGTGAAGCACCTTTATTTTTAAGAGTGTATGTGTGGTGCTCAGGAAGCGGGATGGGGATGTCAATGACAGCTAAAGGCAAAAAGCCCAAATTTGAGGTATTTTTAAAAGTGGACCACTAATGGGAATAAATGTGGCAGAATCAATTAAATTATGTCAACATCAGTACAATACTTTAGTACAGAATGATATGATCAAGGCGCAACTTCATCAAAACAATGCGCAAATTTGACTAAAATCAACTAAACATCAATTTGCACCTGCGTTCATGACATTTCATAATTAGGAATAATTAGTGCTAGATGTCAACAATGACAATATTTCCGTGTTTTGATAAAGTTCTGCTGAGTTAACGTTAGTAAAGTTTAGCTAGAAGCTGAGGCGAGTTTATCCATTCATAATTTCAGCTTTGTTATGGATGTCACCACATTTTACACTTTAATATGGCACATTATTGACAAAATGTATATTTTTTACCACTTGACCGTGTTCTGTTTTAAAATATTACAGAGTAATTTCTGATCGCAGTGCGAATTATAGCCTACTTTCGGCGTCTCTAGCACAGCTAGCTAAACGTTCACATTTTTAAGGCGTTTAAAACAAAACAATAATCATATGTGTGCAATATAAACCTTTAATACGGGGAAAATAAGCTCGCTCTGTGGACTTACCGTCTGATAATAACTTACTCCAACAAGAAAGCGTTCGAGCGGTGAAGTGTTGCTATGGAAACGTTCGTTATTTATTACTTCTCTTTTTAGCGCACGTAGCATACTTTAATTTTTTGGTTACTGATATTCAGTTTGAAAGATTACACTTTTAAACCCGCTTTTCCTTCTTAACCTTTTGTTTTATCTTACTTTGGTGCAGACTTTAATTGGCTGGTTTGGATCCTCATAATTCACACCCTGTTGTTGACATATTTGAATTGATGGCAGCACTTAAAAAAAGTATACAAATTCCTTGTATAGGCTATATTACAGAATAAACGATAATCTGAAATGTTTAACTTGAGTAGCGCACGTGCTGCCGGCGCATCTTTGACAGCTGTCAATCAAAGCAGACGCCTGCCTTACCTTACTCTTGACCTCCGCAGACAGTCCGAAAGCGGGTCCGCTCTTGAACTGCGTTGTCATTGCGCTTTTCAACGGATTCAGACGAGAGGATGGCGATATAATGTTAGATCTGGAATCTCCAGTGCAGCTGTCCGATCATGTGGGAAGGTTTGGGACACATCTTCTTTTCCACAATCTTTTTTAAACTCTTCCCATCTGCGCGTGCGCGGAGCGAGCGCTGATTGGCCGAGGCCGACGTCCAATTGTGACGTCACGCCGCTCTGTTACAATTATGTCAACGGCATGGCATTAAACGCGTCCAATGTTTCCACTTTGAAGTGAATTAGGGATGCTTCTGATTTGTCTTCAGGGAATCTGGTTTTGTTTTAGATTTTACAGTGGACATCAAGTGGGTATTATATATATATATATATATGTATATGAATGAAGAGTTCAGATAAGCCTCTAAGTGCCATCTGAAAATTTCTTCTAAAATTAGCATTTTTATCAGGCTCCAATGTTTAGGTTCAGTAATTTCACTTTAATGGCAATGTATGGGTCCTTTTCTATGCCATTAAAGTCAAATAACCGAACATAAATATAGGAGTTTCTAAGGTGTTGCTAGGCAGTTGTTAGAGGTTTGCGAAGGTGGTCTGTGGTTACTAGGCCATTGCTAGAGGGTTTGCAAAGCTGGTGGTTACTGAGGTGTATTTAGGCTGTTGCTAGAGGTTTGCAAAGGTGTTCTGGTGGTTACTTAAGCATCGCTTGGCAGTTGCTAGAGGTTTGTGAAGGTGTTCTGGTGGTTACGAAGGCATTGCTAGGCAGTTGCTAGAGGGTTTCTAAGGTGTGTTCTGGTGGTTACTAAGGTCTTGCTCGGCCATTGCTAGTTGTTTGCAAAGCTGGTTACTAAGGTGTTGCTAGGCAGTCGCTAGAGGTTTGCAAAGGTATTCTGGTGGTTACTAAGGCATTGCTAGAAGTTTGTGAAGCTGTTGGTTACTAAGGTGTTGCTAGAGGTTTGCAAAGTTGTTCTTGTGTTTACGAAGGCATTGCTAGCCAGTTGTTAGAGGTTTGCAAAGCTGGTGGTTACTAAGGTGTTGCTAGGCAGTTGCTAAGATGTTCTAAATGGTTACTAGTCAGTTTCTAGAGGGTTGCTAAGGTGTTCTGGTAGTTACTAAGGCATTGCTAGTCAGTTGCTCGAGGTTTGCGAAGCTGGTGGTTACTAAGGCATTGCTAGTCAGTTGCTAAGATGTTCTAAATGGTTACTTGGCAGTTGCTAGAGTGTTGCTAAGATGTTCTGGATAGTTTTAAGTAGATTTTCAATGTCTTTACAATGAACTGTATGTTTAGTGGATATCATGAAAGGACATTTAGAAACTGTGATCTTTGCTTAGAGATTTTAAAAAAACTCTAACCAAAGAGGGTAAAAAGCCAAAGGAAAAGCTGACAATACTGATTGTAAAAAGACAAACAGCTGTAGTTTTATGTGAATAAGCGTTTGTCACTCATCAGCATCAGATTCAATGATTGCTGTATATGTGTTTATGGGCTCAAATGAGCCAGAGAAAAATCAAGAAGGATGGAGAAACTGTGAGAAAAACAGAAAAGTTACAGCAGCTTCTGAAAGCGCCAGTTCCAGAGATTTCCCTGCCCTCCTTGCTTTCCTCTCTCCTTTCTAGGATAGGTCTGTCTGCCTATTTATGGTCCATGGCTCATTCAACCTACAAAGCTTCGAGGAATTCGGTTGGAGATCTAACAGCCACGGGCAGGTTTTCGGCACACAGTAGTCATCCGTATCCTGAACCCACCAACCAAATTGTACCGACGACTATTGTAAACAAGCAAATGGCATCATAAATCTGCTTGATGTTCTGTACAACACAGATTACAAAAGACCCTCAAACAACTTTAATGCCTCATAAATATAACTATATAAAGATCATAGAGCGTCTGGAATGCAAATCTACATCTGGGAACAACTTCAAGATGAATATCTGAGGGCAGTTCAGTTTGCTTTATAACTCCTGGAGTTGCGTATGAACATCATTTGATTTGCCGTTTTACTTTCTTTGCATATACAGTAAATGTATACTGTACACGCTCCGAAAACAAGTCATGAAAACCATCTCTGGCAGGTAATAGCAAAGTGAAAAGTACATGCTTGGACTTGGTGTGAGGCATACAAAATGTCACAGACAGCAGTACTGCAGATGTATGATGTGTAGTGTTGTGTGTGTGTGAGGGTACCAGGGGAGATTTCAGTGAGCCTCTGATGTACTGTGACCATGTTTGGTAAAAGTTATCCACACACACAGTCGCTCTAACCCAACCCATTGACCATGAGTACATGCAGTAGAGCTGGATTCAATCAGAGCCAGACTACAGGCTCAAAGAGCTCTCATTCTTTCACTTTAATATTCTTGGTCATCCTCTTTGGCTTTCTTTACCTCCACTTTCTTCTGTCTTCTAGTATTACGTAAGCTCTGAGCTGAGGCAGAGCTACCTGATGTCATTTTCAACAGGTACTGAAGATAGAGATAGACACAGACAAACAGACAGATACTTCACTTTACAATACTTCTTAAACATGAGGATGTTCGGTTGCCACTGAACCAAATCAATTTTCAGTTAGCTTGAAGAATTAGCAAACAACTGCCATTTGCCAACGGTTCTGCCAACAGAAAAGTGCTCTGAATGTACAAACGGCTAGCGAAATAGTCAAAACGTTCACTTCAAGAGTCAAATATCTACTTAAACCGACATTAAACAAACTTCCAGTAGATTTATGAACACATCAAAACATGTCATGATAAAGCGTTTCTAAAAAGTGTGTGAAATGTGTAAAGCAAAAGCATGAGGATGAATCATTTGACCCACTAAATTGAAAGCATTTAATTCATGAAACCATTCCATCATGTACTTAAATGTGTAAAAAGAGTAAACTAAATAAAAAAGTGAAACTAATTAACTTCACTCATCCGTCCATCACAAAATACTATAAACCTGAAGAAGCACATTTATAAATACATTACCATTCAAAGGTTTGCGTTCAATGGAAATCATTCTAAAATGAGTTGCTGCTCAAGTATACTTTCTGATTATTATCAATGTTGAAAACAGTCGTTATGCTTAACATTTTTTTTTTTTTTTGGAAACATGAAACATTTTGTTTCAGGATTCTTTAAGAAAGTTAAAAAACAGCCGATTTGAAATCTGTGTGACATTATAGATGTCTTTACGATCGCTTTTGATACAATTGATGCATTCTTGTTGAACAAAAGCATTACATTTTGAAGAGTAGTGTAAACCGTCGCATTCGCAGTCAGTCAACAATCCGAAACAAACGATAAGAAAACAATTCAGGACTGCTTTTTATCATCTCACATTTATTAATCTGTCATTTCTCTCTTTGACTGCTATTTATACAATATTATCATTAGTGGTCATATCATCCATCGGTTTCAAAGTGTACAGATACAGGGGCTCTAAGGCCTCTGTTGGGTGTCGATTTTCACATAAAAATTTCCAGAGATGATTGGATCCACAACAGTTATTTGTTAAAAGAAAGGAAAAGTAAAATTGATCAAATCAAGAGATCGGAGACTCTTCTTAAAAGTGACTTCTTCTTCAAGACTGAAAGTATATACACATACATAGAGATTCAATACTGGCATTGGGTTAGTCACCAAATTGCACATAGTAAATAATTCCATTGAATACCAGGCTGTCTGAACAAAAGCCAGACAGCATAAGAACGAATTAAAAATCCCCATCTAAACATTTGGAAAGGTAGAAGAGACTGTCTAGTCATCCTTTCATAGATTATTTCTCCTTAGTAATCACCAGAAACAAATATTTAAAAGCAATTTAAAATGTCTAAATAAATCCACATAATTTAGTTGGTGACTGCTCATTTTTAAAACCACGAGTTTAAAACACTGACAAACAATTTGGGGCTCTTTGTGATCACAAAAACACTTTTGTCTTGGTCTATCTGCTCTACGTGAGAATTGATCCAAACGAGAGCAGGCAAGTGCGGCACAGATTATTACAAAGGTCTTTGTAAACGGTGTACCAATAAAATCCAATGGGACGTTTGATATGGGGAATCCCATCTAGTAAGTTTATCCTGGATATAGCCTTTTTTCACATTCTTCCACCCTTGAATCCACGATGACATAGGAGTTTAAGCTAATCTGAGGCAAGGCAAGGTACTAAAGTTAGTTTTGTGTTAACTCTATAGCTGCTTTATACTAGTACAGTCCTATCTATACTTACTATATTATTTCATATACTCAAATGTTGTAGCTTACATGGCAACAGGTGACCATTCTACAGAAAACAATCAATAACTGTAGAGAAATGTCAGTTTTTATGAATATTGAACCATTTTTGCCAATCAAATTTATTATTTTGAGTATCGCCAATCAAGTTTGTCCAGTAGATGAACTTGAATTTCGATCAGCCCTTCAAAATTACAAATATTACAATATCAATGCCACAATGGCATTTCGATTGTGCAACGGTTGTGTGGATGACGTACCATAAAGCCTAACCTCCTTTGCATTTCCATAAACACGAAGATTGCAGCTCATTTCAGACATTTTAGATACATATAATAATTACACGACCAATTGGCCACTTTGTTCTCCAAAACAATACCCGAATATATTTCTATTGTCACAGCTTCACATATTCAAGGCCTGGAGGATGATTTGGTTATTTCGAATTATGGATATAAGGCAAAATACTACATATCCCACAATCATCTCCCATTATCATTCAAAATATCATTCATTTTCAAAGTGTACCTGAACTTCCGAAAAGAAACAGTGGCTCTGACTACGGAGAGATTTAGTCTTGTCAAATACTTGGCAGGTATAAGTACTGCATATGTTTTTACACACACACACATATATATATATATATACTGTATCGTAATGCCACAGCGCAACACAACATGGGTTGACATGCCCAGCAGGAAGTCACATTCAAGAGAATCACAACAGCATTCATGAATCATGACAAAAGCCTAAACGTCAGGCTGGAAGTTCTGGTGACCAACAAGCTAAAAAAAAAAAAAAAAAAAAAAAAAAAAAAAAAAAACATTTGAGATAAAATGTGTATTAATATAACATCTATAACTAGAGTACTGTAACACGAAGACATGCATTAAATGACTGGATCCCTTGGAGAGGAAACTATATAGTGCGTCTGGGGCTGAGAGACACATTAACATGGTTTCCACAAGAACTGCAGAGTATCCCGACTAGACCACTGGGAGCATACGGACTGAGAGCATTAAAGTTTGTAGAACAATATTTTAGTTTTGGCCTGCAGGCCAAGATTTTCAAAGACCCTTTTTCACAGTCAGTTTTATTTCAATATCAATGTTGACTTTTAAGGATTATATATATACTAGATATACTGTAGTACAGGGGTTGGCGAACCTGTGAAAGATCTTGAGCCAAAAAAAAAAAAAAAAAAAAAAAAAAAAAAAAAAAAAAAAGAATTTGGCAGGAAGAAAATGACAGAACCAAGAAAAAAAACAGGACCGAGATGTGAATTTGCACCAGTTCCCATCAAGCCTTGAGGCGTTGAATGTTTAAATAATCTGCTTGGTGAGAACAAAACGGTTTAAAACCTGTGCATGTGATGCACCTTAAGCATGTTGGAGAAAATGGAGGGCTCTAGAAAAGGCTAGAACCCTGAGAAATGGATAAAGCACTGCAGTTTCCTCCAATCTAATGCAAAAAAATGTGACCACACATGGTCAGAATTGAAGCATGCACACAGGCATTTGCTAAAGGAAACCACCTTTCACTCTTTGATGTGCAACACAAGATGAGTTCTAGAAGTCTGCGCTATAAAAGCAAAGGCTGTGAGTGTTTGATTCTTGTGGACTTTTCAAGATGTTCCTCAAGTCCAAACGGTGTTCGTTCTTGTGCTTGACACAGTGTGAGAGGTAGATCTGAGGTTTCCCGGAGACTTGACAATGACGTAAGATTGTGTGAAGTTGATGAGCACTTCCGACCAAATGTGCAACAAGTTTAGGATGTCGTTCACTGAGGCACATCAGTGTAAATATCACAGGAAACACGGCTCCCAAAGCAACCACGATTGGTTTAGAGAAAAACATGCATGGGTACTGACTGGCTAAGGCTTTGATGGAGATCTGATGGACTTTTCGTGGTCACAAGCTCACATGTTCATGTTCTATTGCTTCTCCTTGTGCTTGGAGGCACTTTGGTTGTGTTTGAGGCATAGCAGGTTAATTTATCGGCTTGACTTTCACCGGTGTAGGTCAAGTCCGAGTGTCTGTACATGAAGTAGAGGTTAAAACCACACTGGGATGATGAAACTCTCTCCTCTCAACCTCTGTTTCGAGAGCACATCCATCTAGAGCGCAATAAAAAGACTCAGAAGTTGCTATATTCTGGGAAGAGAATACGTCTAATCTAATCTGTCATGATCGCGGATGATTCTCAGTCTGTGTGGTTGTTCATGTAATTGGTCTTTTTGGAGTCCACTTTGCCTCCTCTTAGCTTGCCGGTAATGACCTTGTAGCAGCCGCGGGCGATTTTGTACATCCAGATTGTGTTTAGGATATCCAAGCAAACGCAGGATACGATCCAGGCCACCTGAGCTGCCAGACCAAGCCTTTCGAACGCTGGCGTACCGAAGGTGCCAAACACTTTTGCCCAGTAGGGAGGCATCACAGCGATCCGCACGAGGAAGAACACGACTGCCATGGCAACGCCGTTGGTGACAACCAGCGGGTGAGTACGAGGGTAAGCTAACGCTTCGAAAAACCACCTGCAGAGAGAGAAATAGAAGTCAAATGAGACGTTCAGCATTTGGCGAGTCAATGATCTAAACAAAACCTCTTCATTGGAATAATCTCACCTTTGATTCACAAATGGCGTTGACAATTCTGAAATCAGTCGGAAGTTTGCAAAATAAGGAAGCACTCCACGTGTCTGGAAAAAAATAAAAAACATAAAAAATGTAGATCATACAGACAACTGTTTGAATACCTCTCCTATGACGAACATGTTTTCATTTTCTGAATTTAAAGTTTATTTCATATTTTACATGATATTTGAGGGTTTTTTTTAGGCGTTCCAACCATCCTGAAATATAATGAAGAGAAAAAAAGTGAAAAAAATAAATAAATATACAACTATTAATAGTAGTATCATTATTATTATTTATAAAATGTATATTATTATTTAAAAATAAGTAGTGAAACCGTTTTAGTATCTGAAAAAAGCTTTATCAGCCAAATCAAAGTCAGGGAGGTGTAACCAACATGTCTAACTAAAAAAATAAACTAAAATTAATAGTTTGTTACTAACAAAAAGAGATATTTAACAAAAGGGCACATAAACTAATAAACATTCATTCCTGTAACTCAAACAGTAGAGCACTGCACTGAATGTAAAAGTTAAAAAAAACTGGCCGAGACAAGCATCAAGCACCATACGCTGGTTTAAGCTGTTTTCATTTAAAAAATACATTCAAGTGCACTTGCCAGGGTCATCTGAGAGTTACAAAAGAGATGAAATGACTAAACAAACCCATGCGCTCGCCATATAGAAGAAGAATATCTCGGTGAACGGATAACAAGCCAGCGTTACAGTATGCGTGTCTCTCTGTGACCCTGTAAAGCGATCAGGGAACTGATGCACGGCGGTCGCGCGTGTCCTGTAGCAGAAGAGGTGTGTGTGAAACACAATCTTAATTCAAACGCTAGGGAAGGAAGCTCAGTTACCCTGAGCGTGACCCCGCTGTCACCTTCACTGACCTCTGACCCCTCTGCCAAACAAACACTGGACTCTCACTGGCCACCAGGGTAAATGCAGGATTTTACAGCTGGAGTATGAAGTCTTACATGTGCAAGTGGTTCTGAAGTATTTACAGTATTTTATATTTTATATAAAATTGTATATTTTATTTTAATAGACCACATTTGTCCATCTGCTGAAAGAAATCATGCACTTTCTAACATTTAAAAATATCTCTGGTGTCTTGCATGGTTCTATATGTGAACCTGCTCATCTGTTTATGAACAACGTCAATGGATTGCAGTATTAATATTTGTATTATGGAACATTCTGGATCATGCAGGAGAACATGATGATTATTAGGTTTCATAGAAACTCTACAAAGTCATAAAGTAGACGATGTACAATATACCAAGACTTCTTGAAAAGTTTCAGAGAAGTTTATATACAATTATGATGATTATACAATTTGTGATGACAAAATTGCATTAAATGCAATGCAGTTTTTCCACCAGTGGTCTAATAAGATGCTCACAAAATTGAGAAATTAAATCATGCTTTTATTTTATAGAATATTTCTGACAATTCTCTAAAAGGGGCATAGATATCAACCAATGTCAATTAAATCAAATGCAATAATTTTAACAACAACAACAACAATAATAATAATAATAATAAGTACTTTGCCTAGGGTTATGATAGTTACTGAAACTAAAACCATTAAAAAAAATTGAAATAAAACATTAACTGGAATAAAATAGAATATAAAATAAACAAACTTATTTTATTTCAGATAGTTGCCAAGGCAACATTTGTCATCTTCGTTTAGTTTAACTTGAAGTGCTAAAATAACTCAAACTAAATAGACTAAAATGAATAATTACAATTCATAAAAACTATATAGACATTAAAAAAAAAGAAAAAAACAACAACAACAAAATGACTAAAACGTAAACTAAAATGAAAACAGAAAATATAAAAATAAATCCTAATTCAAAATATCAACAAAAACTGTAATAGTATAGCAATGATAGTAAAATAACACTGCTGTAGCCTTAAGTACATAACCTTTGTGATAATTTGTCAGGAAAAAGAAATACGACACCAGAATCTTTTTCAACTATTAATTTATAAATTCTCATTAAAATTCTTCTAAAAATAAGTGTTAGCCTATTTTATCTATTTCTTCCATGGAACATGTCATCCTGACATTAACTTTTCATAATTATCAAGTTATTTTATTCATAGCTGAGTACATTGATTTAGGGAAAAAATGATTTAGGCTAAAGTTTAATTGGACAGACAGACAGACGTAGTATTAGCCTTTAAATGGACACACCTAAGCAAGTTTCTTCACCTTTGATCTCATTCAGTTCACTATCTGGACAAGCAGGTCAGCTTTAGAGAAGAGATTCAGAAAACTGACCCGACACGACAGGCCAGACTTACAGCACAGACGAGTCTAATGAAAGCCATTTTCATGTAAGGATGGATGACAGCATATGCGGCCATTACTATAAAACACAAAGAGATCAGCTTGAAGGTTTGAAAAGGCTCTGTGGAGTGTAACTCTTCAGGCGAGACTGGATCAAGTAAACTGGCGTAAGGCTATCATCTCTGACTGAGCATTTAGCAAACAAAAGCCCAACGACTGAAACAATTCAACTTTCTTTCAACAATATGTTGAGTCATTCTGCAAAACGAGTGCCTTTTGCGTCCTTCATTATGTAAATAATGACTGTAAAAAATGTGAAACAAAGGAGTGAGGACAGACAAAAGAAAGCATAAAATAAATTAAGTCAAAAGAGTAGACTCTTTCCCAACCTACATCACACTTTGTCTTTGTTTCGAATTTTTCAAAATCCTCTAAAACTTTATTTCCTGGTTCAAATGAAAAGCCAAATCCCACATTTGACATATATATGATCAATACATATACAGTATATATATATATATATATATGAGATATATATATGAGATATAAACTAAAAGGCATGTAGTTGTGCCCGCAGGTACCATCATAACTAGCCCTTATTGAAATAATCTATTATTTCATACTTCAAAAATGCAAAATGCATACTTTCAGCAAATGAAGTCTGCGAAGACATGAAAATATCCTTATCACTTCATCTTACATTTCGGTAAGTTTGCTAGAGGGAACACTCTTGCCATCATTTTATACAGTAAACAACTGATGAAACTCGAAAATATGATGTCTGTAGAAATATTAGCACTAAATGCATCTTCTAAAATTCACCTTGAAGCATCACGCCCTTGAGCCAGAGTTATTTTCATATCATTTATGTATCATTGTAGTTTATATTAATATTTTGAGTTCCTTTTCATTTTTATATTATGTTTTTATTTAAATTTGATTTGTTTCGTTAATCTAGTTTTTATTTTATTTTTTTCAGTTTTTGTTATTTTAGTACTTTAAGTTGAACTTAACGAAAAATAGAGATGAAATTGAAATACATTTAGTTTAGGTTTTCTTATATTTTATTTTATTCCACTTCAAGTTGAGTTTATTTCAAGTAACAAAATGCTTTTTTGATGGTTTTGGCCAACTATAATCATGCCTTGAAGCGCAAGTAATGGCTAAACTGTAAAACTGCCAACTCTGTTACTATTTTAGTACTTTAAGTTGAACTTAACGAAAAATAGAGATGAAATTGAAATACATTTAGTTTAGGTTTTCTTATATTTTATTTTATTCCACTTCAAGTTGAGTTTATTTCAAGTAACAAAATGCTTTTTTGATGGTTTTGGCCAACTATAATCATGCCTTGAAGCGCAAGTAATGGCTAAACTGTAAAACTGCCAACTCTGTTACCATCTGCCCTGAAATGCATTATTTATAGACTGATATATATTCATATTGATCAGTGTAGCTTGGGATGCACAATGCAATTTACTACATTAGAAACTGGATATTTACAACTCATGCAGTGGCTACTCAGACGTCTCACAAAAACAAAGAAGAAAAGAGCAAAGCAGACCAAAGAGGTGACATTATCTAGTATGAAATTTTACTTTTAAAAATGGTGAAAAACCTTGTTCAAAAAGGCATCCATATCATAGAATGACCCCGTTTGTATTGAGATAAGGATGCGGATGAGATGAGGTTTGGATGGGAATGAAGTCTCAGCAGTCTCCCTCTCTACTCAGTAATACTCTTTATGTTATGTTTTTTGGGGAAGCGTTACTGGCCGAGGTGGCCTATGAGACACTGAGAGGGACTGATCAGAGGAGAGAGGGGGCCTGGAGGACTGTCACATGATCCGGCAGAGGAGGGGGTCTGGGAATCTGTCGTTTCCTAATGAAAAGTCGCCTTGTTGGCAAGATTAAAAACTCTATGATCTGAGAGATCGAGAAGGGAGAGAGGAAAAGAGACATAGAAATACAGTTCCCTCTCTGAAAGAGTCGACTCACACAGGTGACCAAAGAAAACAGAGGCGATGAGAAAGCGGAAAAGAAATAAAGCGAGAGCAGATGTGACAAAAGAAAAAGAGAAACCGTTGGGAAAAGGAATTCAGAAAGTAAAACAAAATATCAATGATATAGGTTGTGAACAGCTGTTTGGACTCTCATTCTGACGGCACCCATTCACTGCAGAGAAACCATTGCTGAGCAAGTCATGTGATGCTTCATTTCTCCAAATCTGTTCCGATGAAGAAACAAACTCATCTATATCCTGGATGGCCAGAGATTAAGTAGACTTTCAGTTTTGTAGTGCACTCCTTCATAAATAATGTAATTACTTTTGTCTTTTCTTCTCCATTTACTTTTTTACTTCAAATCAAAGATGTCTGACAAGATACAAGGCTCTTTATTAAAGAATTTCCTGAAATCTCTTTGCAGAAAATGATTGGGGAAAATGACCTTGAGAACCAAGGTTGCAGAAAAGGTGTTGCACTCTATTAAATAAGCAAAGGGAAATCCCAAAAGAAGAGGAGATGAATAGAAGTGAGATGAAAAAGGAGATATGTGCTCTGTTCCTAGTGAGCTGCCTTGCTGTGTTTTTTGGAAAGCTTTTAAAAAAACAGCAACTTCAGAGGTATTTTCATATCATTTATGTATCATTGTAGTTTATATTAATATTTTGAGTTCCTTTTAATTTTTATATTATGTTTTTATTTAAATTTGATTTGTTTCGTTAATCTATTTTTTATTTAATTTTTTTCAGTTTTTGTTATTTTAGTACTTTAAGTTGAACTTAACGAAAAATAGAGATGAAATTGAAATACATTTAGTTTAGGTTTTCTTATATTTTATTTTATTCCACTTCAAGTTGAGTTTATTTCAAGTAACAAAATGCTTTTTTGATGGTTTTGGCCAACTATAATCATGCCTTGAAGCGCAAGTAATGGCTAAACTGTAAAACTGCCAACTCTGTTAACATCTGCCCTGAAATGCATTATTTATAGACTGATATATATTCATATTGATCAGTGTAGCTTGAGATGCACAATGCAATTTACTACATTAGAAACTGGATATTTACAACTCATGCAGTGGCTACTCAGACGTCTCACAAAAACAAAGAAGAAAAGAGCAAAGCAGACCAAAGAGGTGACATTATCTAGTATGAAATTTTACTTTTAAAAATGGTGAAAAACCTTGTTCAAAAAGGCATCCATATCATAGAATGACCCCGTTTGTATTGAGATAAGGATGCGGATGAGATGAGGTTTGGATGGGAATGAAGTCTCAGCAGTCTCCCTCTCTACTCAGTAATACTCTTTATGTTATGTTTTTTGGGGAAGCGTTACTGGCCGAGGTGGCCTATGAGACCATCTGCCCTGAAATGCATTATTTATAGACTGATATATATTCATATTGATCAGTGTAGCTTGAGATGGACAATGCAATTTACTACATTAGAAACTGGATATTTACAACTCATGCAGTGGCTACTCAGACGTCTCACAAAAACAAAGAAGAAAAGAGCAAAGCAGACCAAAGAGGTGACATTATCTAGTATGAAATTTTACTTTTAAAAATGGTGAAAAACCTTGTTCAAAAAGGCATCCATATCATAGAATGACCCCGTTTGTATTGAGATAAGGATGCGGATGAGATGAGGTTTGGATGGGAATGAAGTCTCAGCAGTCTCCCTCTCTACTCAGTAATACTCTTTATGTTATGTTTTTTGGGGAAGCGTTACTGGCCGAGGTGGCCTATGAGACACTGAGAGGGACTGATCAGAGGAGAGAGGGGGCCTGGAGGACTGTCACATGATCCGGCAGAGGAGGGGGTCTGGGAATCTGTCGTTTCCTAATGAAAAGTCGCCTTGTTGGCAAGATTAAAAACTCTATGATCTGAGAGATCGAGAAGGGAGAGAGGAAAAGAGACATAGAAATACAGTTCCCTCTCTGAAAGAGTCGACTCACACAGGTGACCAAAGAAAACAGAGGCGATGAGAAAGCGGAAAAGAAATAAAGCGAGAGCAGATGTGACAAAAGAAAAAGAGAAACCGTTGGGAAAAGGAATTCAGAAAGTAAAACAAAATATCAATGATATAGGTTGTGAACAGCTGTTTGGACTCTCATTCTGACGGCATCCATTCACTGCAGAGGAACCATTGCTGAGCAAGTCATGTGATGCTTCATTTCTCCAAATCTGTTCCGATGAAGAAACAAACTCATCTATATCTTGGATGGCCAGAGATTAAGTAAACTTTCAGTTTTGTAGTGCACTCCTTCATAAATAATGTAATTACTTTTGTCTTTTCTTCTCCATTTACTTTTTTACTTCAAATCAAAGATGTCTGACAAGATACAAGGCTCTTTATTAAAGAATTTCCTGAAATCTCTTTGCAGAAAATGATTGGGGAAAATGACCTTGAGAACCAAGGTTGCAGAAAAGGTGTTGCACTCTATTAAATAAGCAAAGGGAAATCCCAAAAGAAGAGGAGATGAATAGAAGTGAGATGAAAAAGGAGATATGTGCTCTGTTCCTAGTGAGCTGCCTTGCTGTGTTTTTTGGAAAGCTTTTAAAAAAACAGCAACTTCACGTGCAACATATCCAGAACCAAGAATAAAAATAAAAAACATAATATACACAAATCTTTTTAAAAGTATTATTATTATCATTATTATTACTATTAGGCCATAAAATGCTGTCTTGGTAGGTAGCTCACTAGGTTTTGGACCAGAGCTACAGAGGACAGAGGATGTGACAACCACTAAAGACAAATTACCATTCTTCCCTTTCAGGATGCAAAGATGCAGACCAAACAGGCAGCAGGCAGAAAAGGAAATATCAAAGAAGAAAATAAAAATAAAGAAAAGAAGAGAAATGAGACGGCAGTTGTGTGCCCTGGCGACTACAGAGGACACATTACTGATGATGACAGAGCAAAAGTTTCAATTAAAACTTTTGGATATAGCAAAATTTGTCTCAATTGAACATATAATCCTAGATATTGATACTCAATTATTGATTGGTAATTGTAGGTTTGATTCTTGCAATTTAGGACCCTTATGGATTCAAAAATAGCTGTTCTGCTAAAGACCCCTTTTTTTTTGTTTTGAGTTTTTAAACTGAAAAAAGAAGAGAAAAATATCACGATGAGATCCAAAAAGTACACGGAGTTGAAAAGCCGCCCTGTTTTTGAACTCTCTGCAACTTACCAGATGGGGTCTTCATTGACGGCGTCGTCGTACCAGAGGATATAGAGGCAGAACAGCCCCACAATTAATGCATGGACTGTGGACACAAGCCTGAGGACATAAAAGATGAAACCACATTCAAACAACATTTCAGTTATCACCAAAGTTTGAGTTTGGCACTCATTGTTATTCTTCCTGTCATTCCAGTTTCAACTTCCTGTACAGTTGCCTATTCAGTCCAATGCATGAATCTGAATTTTCAGATTCCAAATAGACACGTATAAGTATATAGTCAATAATTGAATAACTGTGCCAAGGGCCACAAAAAGTCATTGTATCATTTGCACATTGGGTCAAAAGAAATCAGCATTAGGAATATCACATAGATAACATGATGCTGAAACTGCAGGAAATGGTATCTACGGTAGATAGCTGACAGTGAAGGAACTATGTTTTGATCTGATCCATTAGTGTGGTGTGCATGTGTGTTTGTGAGAAATCATTGTCTGTGGACTGTAGATTTTCGTATCTGTTATCTGCACAGTGAGAAACCCGTGTGTGTGCCACTATTTGACAGCACAACAAAGCAAAAGGACAAATATTTTATGAAAACCAATGATCCAATTTTTTGTTTTATTAATTTTTTTATTTTGCATTCTCTGTTCCACCATGTTAAGTCTTGTGAATAAAGTAATCCCGGAAATGCTTTGCTATCACATTACCTGATTACATCAGATGCACGATAATGCCTTACTTTCAACCCTTGATAGTGTGAAAAATGTTTCATCATTCAGGCAGAAGGTTTTAAACAGGTATCCATAAACTAATTTAAAAAGAGATTAAGCAAACTATTGTGCAAAATACTCTAATTACAAGTATATTATTGTACCATTTAAAAAAATCAGGGTTTGTTACACTTTCAGAAAATGAAAGTGGTCTTTATAGGGAAAGAACTGCATTTTTACAGAGAGTGCAAGTAATCAATGCAACTGGTTCTGTACTCCCATGACATTGTCAAAGCGTTTAGATTTGCTAACAGATTATCATATCAGTTTCATTCACTAAAGTCATTGACTTTTAAAACAACGCAAGCTGTCAAAACAAGAACAGGCGGCAGTATTTAGCATCTTCTAAAAGCAATTCAAGGTTAAAAACATGTGTTTAACCTCGGACATTTTATATAACCATGTAAAGTATTGTACAGAGACCTATCTCCTCCTAACTAAGTGCTGTATGGTCAAAGTTAACCATGTTCAAAAGATAACAAAGAGGAAAGGTGATTAGACCAAACTGCCTTCACCTACATTTCACAATACAGTACAGAGATCACTAGATCAGACTCGTGTTGGGCTACACTCATGCACAACTACTTTATGAATGATATTTGCAAGCTTTTTTGCATTTTTGAAAACATTCATCAAAAAAGATAATTCTCTCATTTGACTGGATACAATTCTATTATCATATATTCTCTCGAGTTGTTAAACAGTTTACCGTGTTTGGCGGTAGCACTTTTAGCTGTAGCTTAGCATAGATCATTGAATCTGATTAGACCGTTAGCATCTCGCTCAAAAATGACCAAAGAGTTTCTATATTTTTCCCATTTAAAACTTGACGCAGCGCCTGAAAATAGTCCCAGCTAGGTAACCTCCAATAAGCCTATTTTCAGGCGCTGCGTAATATCATTGCGCCTGCTGCACCCATGGTACGGCAGCAGAGTCCCTTGATTATTACGCAGGAATGAGAGTATAGTTCCTAGCCATTTCGGCCTAGAAAATCGCAACTTTTCATTTTCTGTCGGTTTTAGTACACGATGTAACTACAGAAGAGTCAAGTTTTAAATAGAAAAAATATCAAAACTCTTTAGTCATTTTTGAGCGAGATGCTAACGGTCTAATCAGATTCAATGATCTATGCTAAGCTACAGCTAAAAGTGCTACCTCCAGACCCGGAGATCGGCCGAATGGATTCTAAAACGGTAAAACTCAACTGTTTAACTCTAGGGGAGTTGGAGAATGAGCCTATTTTCAAAAATAGTGGAGTGTTCCTTTAAACTTCCATTGCAAATATAATTTTCTTCAAAAACCTTAGATCCTTAGATTAGAACTGCATTTTCTAATAAGAATGTGAAATGTAAAACAAATGTTCTTTGATTTTTCTTAAAACTATTCTTAAGACAAAACGTAAAAATCATTGTTAATAAGTTAGGATAACCTGCAAAGTTGTCTAAAATCTCTTGAATCCAACTTGTCTTAAAGGAAAGATTGTCAATTAATTTATCAGGATGTTTCAAATTTTTAAGCATTAGAATATTACTACATAACAAAAGCTTAATAACCAGTACATTTTCCGGGGTGTTTTTTTTAATATTGTATTATTTTATTCTAATTTAAAAAAAAAAAAAAAGAAGAAAATATTTAAGAAGAGATTTAAGAAATTATTTGAGCATTTAAGAACATTCTTACAAAGATCTTAGAATCTATCTTAAGAACTTTAACGTTTTTCTTAGAAGATTTTCATGAACCATTTAATTTGTCATGTTATATTTCCTCGAAATGTGACTTCCCTACATCGTGCCCCTGATTTTGTCTATAATTGTGAATGTTTGATGATTATTTATCCATCCTAGCTACCAATCCATGTCTATTTGTACTGTTTACTCTATCATCCATGCACGCATTTCTAACCACATTTCTATTAGAGCAGTGCTGAGTTATACGAGGCTGATACCTGGAGTTCCAGTCGTTGAGTTTGTTTGGAGGAAGTTTCCCATAACCCTGCGTGAAGTTGGAAGACAGAACTGGACTGACGCACTTGAAGAACAGCTGAAACCCCACGAAGCTGCCGGCCACCACATACACCTCTCTCACATCCATCTCTCACCTGCACAAGAGACAACACAACACACACAGTCACATCTGTGCTCTTACCCGTGTTTATTCTGGCAGGTTCGGCAATCTGCACACAGCAACTGACCGCTCATTCATTTCACAAAGACTATGTGTTATGCATTAATCTGTTTGCGAGTAAAGAAGTAGTCTGACAAAGAAAGTTATTAAATGTGCAATATTGTGAATGAAGTCATTGTTTTCAAATGTTCACAGAAGATTATCACGTGGAGAAAGAGTGATGGAGAATGAGAGGGCAGGAATGAGAAAGACATTTTAATCATTTACTTTTTTTTATGTTTCTGTTCGCACTAAAAAAGTCATAGTTTGTGTCAAATTTTCAAAAGAGAAAAGAGAACAAATAGCTAAAAACATCTACAGTTACAGGTTTAGCAGGATTTTATCCAGATTCATGTAACATTCTTAAGAATAAAATTCTTCCTAACTGCCATTGTTCTGTTATTTTCAAATAAGAACATTTTGTATTCCAAAAAAATACAAATGTTCTTTTCTATTTTTCTTTAAATTGTTCTTAAAACAAAACTTAAAAATCATTATAAATAAAGTTTTGATAACCCTTAAATTTGTCTGAAATCCCTTAAATGCAACTTGTTTGAAAGGTAAAATGTTTAATTTATTGTGTAGTTTCAAATACTGTGCATTACAACATAACAAGAAAGTTATCCTGTGATAGTTAAAGTCATTAAATAAACACATTTCATGCATTTTACATTAAATTTTGCAACTGCGAAAGTTAAGAGATACCGGTAAGTACCGTTAAGATTCACCAGTGTAAAGTTTTGAATTGTTTGTATTAAACAATGCAACCTCATGTGCAGGATAGTATGAAATCAGATCATTTTTATTATATTGTTAACAATATCATTTGATTCTTAAGAAATTTAAATGTTCTTAGGAAAATATTTGAGAGAATAAATAGCCTAAAACATTTACACTTATGCATTTGGTAGGTTTTTATCCAAAGCGACTTATGTTATTCATTGGATTTAACATGCAGAACAGTTTTTTCACATAAAATCACTTAAAATAATAGTCTTAAAAGAATAATGAATATAAAAAGAGAAAACTAAGAAATTTCAGAGAAAACAAGCACAGGAAACATCTAATATCTCAGGTCAATGTCTCCAAATCTCTTATTACAGGAATGTAATAAGTGTGTGTCTCATTATAGAGTGGGTCACTGACCCCCAGCATGCTGAAGGGTCATATCGAGTCATCTGGTATTTTTCAAGCTGTATCATTGTATCAAGCTATAACACACACACACACACACACACACACACACACACACACACACACACAGCAGAACTACTACACTGTGAATCAATGTCTCAGCAATAAAACATTCCATCAAACTTCTTTTAACCTAAACCAACCAAAAATAAAACACATTTTTGACATGTAGTAATGCATTATTTTTAGTGTAGAATGCATGATTTTCCAAATAAGTTGGATTCCTCCACACAAACGTCCAGCTGTTCTTTTCAAATTCTTATGCATGGAACAAACCAAAGGCATTTACTTGAACTTCTAGAAGAGAGGCTGAGGAATCCATTGCGAAACCTCTCATGATTGGGTCTAACACACAAACAATGGGCTTAAACGGACTAATCCCACCAAAAATGCCAGTAAACATGTTGCTGTACTTTATTAAGATTAAACTAACAAGGGTTTAAATCATTTACCCAGGTACTGGCATGACTGCAACACTCAGATATTGATTAAAGAGGAGCAGATTGGGTTATGATGAGATCTGCACAATGTCTTTCTTTAATCTAGTAACCAGCCTCCTGTTGGCCCAAGTTAACACTTCCATTGTAAAGTACATTTACAGACTAAAAAAGGTGACTGGCAACATGTGAGCTCCTGAGAAGAGGGCACGTATGGAGTACATTCTGCATACTGCAGCTGTGACGCACACTGAAGAGAGGGAATGTGCTTCAGGTAACCTTTCAACAACAAACAATCGACCACCACATAAACCACAGACTTTCATGGCTGGTCACATGGCAGAAATTAATACGATTTGGGAATAATGGACAAATTAATGTAAATTCCATAACATGATACACTAGATGTTATGTGGGAAGATTTGCATAACGCCGCACAAATGTTCACGCAAAGAAAGAAGGAGAGTAACTTTTACTCTCGCTGTAGTTTTGTTGTTTCCGCCACCATGTCGTAAAGACGCTGTGTGCTTCGTTGTGAAAGCGAAACTACTTTGTTTGGTCTTCCAAAATCTGCTTCGTCATGCCTAGAGCTGATCCGTGCTTGAGATTTTCACTTAAGGCCCATCACTATGAAGTTTTAACATCAGCTGAGGCTTGACTTTGACAAATGTGTCTTATGGAAGCAAGTGTGTGGTTGACTGGCATCTATTTATCACTTCACACCTATATGCACTATAGGCTAAAGAACGAAAGGATCAGCAAGTCATTATACTAAACATGACATGGTGGAGGAAATCTGCATGCCAAAAAACCTGGATACCTAAAAATAAATAAATATCTAAAAATAAAAATCTTTTAGCTTGGTAAAAAGTGCATATCTAAAATTCACTTAAATGTATGTGTGTGAGTGTGGGTGCATTTTAAGGTAAAACATCTGAAAGAAATAAGAAAAGGAAAATTACCTCATATTAATACAATGTATTATGTCCTATTGTTAAGAGGGGTTTTTTTTTCAGTCAATAATAATTCAAATTTAAAGGGTGGAGTTAAAAGTTAAAAATCTGGGTAGGGGAGAAGGCCAAAATAGTGATTCTAGGAGAATTTACTTTTTAACACTCCAAAAATAAACGAACAAACAAATAAAAGTACACAATCATAATGTTTAAATGTTGCCTATTTAATAAATAATTTCCTTTAATATCATCACACACATTTTATATCGTCTATTTTAAGAACCTGTGTGACAAGAAACGTGTGACAAGAAAAAAAAAAGCACACGAAATTATGCGGAAGCTTGAACTCCACTGAACAATTTCAGTTTCGCCTGAAAAACAGTGCAACAATTCCCGATTCTAAATTCGAGTTCTACATTCACGCGTTCTCTGAAACGTAAAAAACAGCGGCTGCGTCATAATACCCCGGTAGGTACGTCATAATGCGCTGCATAATAACATGCGTAACCGTCCGTCAATGACCAAACGAGCACGCAGGGAACACGGCCGCTTTAACGCGAGAAAATGTGTTGCACGTGCAGTGCGTCGTCAAATTCTGCACACGTAGCGACTTGAATGAGTGTCCGACGCAACTCTGTCGCGCTAAACTTTTCTATTCATCTGTCGCCTTTAACAATGGCCATGTAAATAATGCATGTGACAGGTGCAGAGAGCGATGCTTCTGTGCGCACACGCTGTGCGAATGACATCTACAGTCTACATTACCTGAGAACAGTCTCATAGGTCTGTGTAAACGTGTCCAGATCCTGTTGTCTGCTTTCTTCTGTCCACGAACCCAGTTTTATCTAAATGGCCGACGGCTAGCGAGCGCTTTGCCCACTCCGCTGTCTTCAAAGCCGCACGTCCTCTGCGGCGCACTGGCGAATAAACCTGTACTTCTGGAGCGAGGGCATTTCCCACCTTTAAAAAACACGCAAGGATTTCTTGAAGCTCCACTCACTGCGCCCGCTGCACCAAACACTGCATTTCTTCACCGTATTGACAGGCTCCGCCCACTCCTCCTCCTCCTCCTCCTCCTCCACACCCCCTGATGAAGCCATGCCCACCGCACAGACACTACTGATTACAACCCACAGTCTGAGAGAATAATAGATCTATCTATAAAACATTTGTATTTCTAGTATATTTTCTGGAATAGTATATGACAAGAGCACGTAATACGAAAAAATCACGCAAAAAGAAAAAAAAGATGCATCCTATGAAAAAAAAAATGTCCCCACCCTCAGGCCACCCAAGATGTAGATGAGCAGAAACATGCAGTTTTTCACTTCAGAAGATGTTAACTCGTGGACTGGAGTGGTGTGAATTACTTGTGGATTATTGCAATGTTTTTATCAGCTGTTTGGTCTCTCATTCTGACGGCACCCGTTCACTGCAGAGGATCCATTGGTGAGCAAGTGATGTGATGCTACATTTCTCCAAATCTGTTCTGATGAAGAAACAAACTCATCTGCTCTTTTCATGCCGTGAACCGAGCCACACTACATTAATCCCCTTAAAGGGGTCATATGATGTTGCTAAAAAGAACATTATTTTGTGTATTTGGTGTAATGAAATGTGTTTATGCGGTTTAAGGTTAAAAAACACATTATTTTCCACATACTGTACATTATTTTTTCTCCTCTATGCCCCGCCTTTCTGAAACACGTCGATTTTTACAAAGCTCATCGGTCTGAAAAAGCGAGGTGTGCTGTGATTGGCCAGCGATCCAGTGCGTTGTGATTGGCCAAATACCTCAAGCGTGTGACGGAAATGTTACGCCCCTTGCCATATTGTGATGATGCCCTGTCCGGCCGGAGCGACGGGACAAAAACATGAAAACCCATTATAAACGAGGCATTCGTTGCATCCTGTGGGGACGGAAATGTTATGTCCCTTACCATACTGTGATGCCTGCGGCAACCACATGTGACGACCCCAGGCTGGACTCCGCTTCGTCCACGGTGAAAGCCGATCCGGCGATTGACAGCGCGAAGTTTAAGTATTTCCTCAGTGAACAGCACGGATCAGCTCCAGGCATGACAAAGCGATATCGTCCCCTTTTGGAAGGACAAACAAAGTCGTTTCGCTTTCACAACGAAACACACAGCGTCTTCACGACATGGCGGCGGCGGCAACAATACTACAGCGAGAATAAAAGTTACGCCTTCTTTCTTTGCGTGAACATTTGGGCGGCGTTATGCAAATCTTCCCACATAGTGAGGTAGATATGTGGGGGCGTGTTAGAACGAGCTGTTTTAGGTAGGCGTGGCTGACTCTTAACTTTTATAAAGAATATCTCTTTGGATTTGAGACTTTAGTCTTTGCAACTTTACAGATCTTCTTTATGCACCAAGAGCTTGTAACACTCCAAAGAGAAGGGAAAAAATGAAATAGCATCATATGACCCCTTTAAGGAGGAATGCATTAAAGCATGATGGCAGCAGAATTTAGTTTGCTGATATGTATTGTGCAATATTGACCATCATTTGTTAGTTTGAAACTGTTTCCAGAACGAAAAGCCTCGAACAGTCTGTAGTTGTTTACTTATGAAATGGCTTTTGAATTTTTGATTTATTTTTTGCCCCTTAGCTATCATTTGATTGCATAGACAAGCAATAGTAACCATTTGAAGATGGCAGTGAATAGTTCTTCTTTTGTTATTTAACTCAACCAGCCTTAACTATTTGGACATCATAATTACTGACCAAAGAACATTTGCTGTTGCATAACTACTTTTATAGGTGACATCAAACGTATAATTAGCTGGGGAGCTTTTATCATACAGACAAAAGCCAAAGATGTAATCACATTATACAAAAAAAAAAAAAAGTTTGGCCATTAAAAAACCCACAATGACAGGCAACTCTTCTGAATATGGATATGAAATATCTGTGGTTTTATGCAAATAGAAATATAACACTGAATTAGATGTATACTGTTGTACTATTCTTTAAGCCAGTCACATGTGACTTATATAACAGCACAATAATGAGTCGAATCCTTTTAAAAGGCTCTTTTTGGTCACATATAGTATCTAAAATGGAACAGGCCTCTAGCAGTCCACAAAACCTTTAATAACGATGTCACAGAAAGAGTCAGAGGCATGTCACGCTTTTACTTTATTCAGTTACCCAAAACACAGATCAATGACTCATTGGGTGTATATAAATAAAAATCACCAATGTAACAAATTAATCCAGTGCACAGGAACGGTGTGCAAAACTCATAATTTTTTTTTCTTTTTTTAATACAAAAAGACTTATTTGCAAAACTGTACAAACATCTTTTCATTTGTACGTATGAAAGAAGGAATAAGAGAGCTGAGAGCTACAGATAAAATATTTTTTATAGGTGAAGCATGTAATTTTTTCAGTCTTGAAATGCCGCAAACTCTAAATAAACCATTTGCAGCTTGATTCGCCCAAAAAGTGTAAACACTGTATGGCTGTGACTCTTTCTCGCATGGTTTCTTTGAGAGTCCTGACCAGCTCGAAACAGCAGCATTGGCTCATCCAATAGTGTGAGTTTGGGACGGGGCTTTCTGCTTATCTGACCAATTACAGAGGTTTGGGAAACCTGTTTGAAATCAGTCATTGCTGTTGTAATTTGACACCCTAATGGTAAAAAAATGGCAGACTTCACCTTTAATGGAGTGTTTTAAGGATGTGAAGGTGTTTCTTAGCACGTGTAGATGGTGCTCTTACAACAGAGACAGTAACTGTACGTAGCACAGAATGTGGCAGAGGCTGGACCTAGTGCCGGGATGTAAAGGCTGAGGGGCATCAGACAGATTAGACGTCACAGTTAATGTTACAAACATTAATTTTCATCCGTTTGGAGTGCAACAAGGTGGAGCATTTACACTCATCTGATTAAAGTACACACAACTTGTAAACACAGCTTACTACCAAACAATTAGTCTAAACACTATGTTAGAAAATAAATTATTTAAAGTAAACATTCTAAAAAAATCTGAAAAACAGCCATTAGCTCAATAAAATTATGAAGTGCACAACACTTGGCTTACATATGATACAGCACATGCAGCCAATTGACTCTCTCATGAACATCCTCAGTGTAGAAAATCTATTATAGTTGATCAAACATGAGCACATGAATCTGTGAGCAATACTTTATTTTAGCTGCCTGAGACACTTAACCATTTGCTCAAAATTTTCCCTATTTAATTTCTTAAAGGAGTAGTTTATCCAAAAAAGTAAATTTACTTTACTCACCCATGCAAGATATAGATAAGTTGGTTTCTTCATCTGAACAGATTTGGAGAAATGTAGTATTACATCACTTGCTCATCAATGGATCCTCTGCAGTGAATGGGTGCCGTCAGAATGAGAGTCCAAACAGCTGATAAAAACATCACAATAATCCACAAGTAATTCACACGTCTCCAGTCCATCAATTAATGTCTTGTGAAATGAAAAGTTGCATGTTTGTAAGAAACAAATCCATCATTAAGACATTTTAACTTTAAACCACTTAAACTGTTGCTTCTAGCCAAAATATCAGTCCATAATCCATAATAATGCTTCCTTGAGTGAAAAAGTTCATCCCCTGTTATCCTCTCACATCAAAATCCACCCACATATTTGTTTAGAACTGTTTTGGACTGTTTTCTCTTGATCTGTGCATATTTCCCGCAACTTTCTGATTCAGACGAGGTGACTTGCACTGGAGAAAGCAATGTTATGGATAGAGGACTCCTATTTTAGCTGGAAGCAACAGCTTAAAGTTAAACCACCATAAAGAATAATGTTTCTTACAAACACATAGCTTTTTGCTTCACAAGAACCGGACTGGAGTGGTGTGGATTACTTGTGGATTATTGTGATGTTTTTATCAGCTGTTTGGACTCTCATTCTGACGGCACCCATTCACTGCAGAGGATCCATTGCTGAGCAAGTGATGTAATGCTACATTTTCCCAAATCTGTTCCAATGAAGAAACAAACTCATCTACATCTTGAATGGCCTGGGGGCGAGTACATTTTCAGCAATTTGTTTTATTTTTGCATGAACTATTCCTTTAAAACACTTTCCTGGACTTATTACCAATGATTCATCAGTGCATGTTCTTCCAATAGAAAATAATGTTTGTCTTAATTTTTCATAAAAGTGTAAAACCTCACTCCACTACTGAAACAACTATTTTCTTTCATCTTTCATCACCTAGGCAGTACAGGCTACGAGAACCAGTCATCAAATAGCTCAAATAACTTCAAACGTTAACATCCCCCTGTATTACAAGGCATTCTGTGCTGTTTCCAAAGAGCAGGAATGGGCTGGGTCTGATATAGGTGCCCCTGGACAACTATTTCTACCGGGGGGATCTATCTTTTGATTTCTATTTAGTGTAGTACTTAATTTAGTTTGAACTTAATATAAAACAGAACCTGAACATGACATTTAACACTGCCTACTAATACAAAATCAAATCAGCATATGAAAAGAGTTTATTTACAAATGTGCAAAAAAAAAAAAAAGTAACTTAAAAACTCCATCAGTGCTATACGTCCTCTTTTTCCCGGACGTGTCCTGGCCGTGGTTTCTAAACAAAGTTTTGACTTTGTTTTCCTATTGACTTGCTCGTTCCTATACGTATATGCTATTTGTATGTGTATTTGCATTGCTTTGACCGTTCTCTGTAGATCCCTCCTTCTCACACGCCACGATTGGTTGATTATGTACAATGCCTGCACGCTATTGGTCAAAGCATTTTTCAGTCATTACCTTCAGCAAGTATGAAAACAATAGGAAAGTTAATTTAGTTTGAACTTAATATAAAACAGAACCTGAACATGACATTTAACACTGCCTACTAATACAAAATCAAATTAGCATATGAAAAGAGTTTATTTACAAATGTGCAAAAAAAAAAAAAAAAACTTTTTTGAGTTACACAAGTTGTATCTGTTAAGCCTATGAACCTTCAAACTTCAATCTTTTTTTAAAAAGCTTTCAAACAAGAATTTATGCCAACATTCAAGGTCTGTCTCGATAAACCTTTCGTTTCTAGCTTACTGTACAGATTTTCATTTTCATTCCATTTCCTAATATTCAAATTTGAACTTCAATTCTGCATCTCTTTGCTACATCAAATTCAAAGGCTCTAAACAGAGGCATTTTCAATTCAATTCTGAATTGCACACATCCCTGTTAGTAACAAATAGTGATATGAATGTGAAAAGGTTATTCAATATACAGCAAAGAAACTAGTTGACTTTCAGTTACTGCATTTTTGAAAACCTTTATAGAAATACCAACAACAATACAGATGATGACGTCATGGGGTGCATTTCTTGCTTTTCTCTCCTGAGAAATGAAGAATCCAATCCATCTTTGATGACAAACTGTAAGAATGTCTCATGTCTGAAAGCCTTGTGTTGTATCTGTGGCGACAGTAATGAAAAGGCCTTCATGTCAGACTGTGCATTACATCTAGCTGGTGGAGAAATCCTTGCGAGCACAAACCGAACATTAAATATGAAAAAGAATGCTGTGGTTGAATTTTATGTCTGTCATTCTGGCTGTCAATTCCTTCTGATGCATCCAAACATTATTATAAGAGCTGGTATCAAGAACGAGGTTTTTTCCTTGATGTGCACTTACAGGACCGTCCAGATAGCTGATGCTGATGAGACTGTCCCAAGTGCATAGTGAATATGACTCAAAAACCAACCAATAGATACTTTATCTATGTCATTTTCCAAAACCATACACTGTGGGGACTATAAAAACGTAACTTAAAAACTCCATCAGTGCTATACGTC